CGTTTGTCTCGTCTCGATTTTCTACGTATGAAAAACGCGACAAATGGAAACCGAGGTGAGATAAATTGACTCGGAGTCGTCGCGAGAGATGTTGATACGGCGTTTTTCGAGACTGAGACGAGACCAAAAATTTCCGCGTTCACTGTAGTGATGCCACGAGACATTTCATGAGACATCGCGAGATGAGACAAATGAGATTTTAGATTCAACTCGGATTCATCACGAGAGGAGTCGATACTGCGCATTTCGAGACTGAGACGAGAGCAACGATTCCATTCATTGAGACCGAGATGGTCTCTCCAAAGTCTTGTCTCGTGATGTCTCATGAAATGTCTCGCGGCATCACTAGTTCACTGAGACCGAGACAATCTCCCCAAGGTATTGTCTCGTGATGTCTCGTAGTCTCTCCCGGCATCACTAAACTAAATGAAAAACGATGAGAACGAGTGGCGGTTGAGTTTATTCGCCGGAGTGGTGAACGATAAAAATTCACAAATTTAGCAATTGCGTTGGAGGGACATTGACAAAGGGAATGAAGGAAAAAAGGAGAATCGTGTGAAGCGAGGGAAGATGAAGAGGAGACGTCGCACTCTCGGGCGTCGCACCGATCCGGCTTGACTGCACGCGGCACGACCGACTTGGTGGGGATAGGGGACCTTGAGTCGCGTCACGTGACCGCCAAGGTGCATACGGGGTAGGGCGTCGAGGGCCTTGACCTTACCACCAATACTCTGACTACCTCATTTTCGTGTGCATGTGTGTACGTATTGAGCCGCCCCCCCTCTCGCCCTCTCTCTCTCTCTCTTGCCGAGGCATTTTCTCTCTTTATCATCTCAGTGAGAAGTTGAAGAGGCTGCGCACTCTCTGTTACACGAGTGACTTACTACCAACTGCGCCCGAAAACGTAGACCTTACGACACTTTCTATTCTTCCGGCTTCTGTCTCCCCCTCAACGTTCACTTGAAAATGTTTTTTTCACTTTTCGTGAATGAATGATTCACCCGTCGAAATGACATTTCGGATTTTTATTTTCGTGAACGGGAGGAGGTGAGTTTATCGAGGGAATAAAGAGTTGAGAGGAACGTCGACTCACGTAGGTGCGTCTGCGGTTGATTCCATTTTTTTATTACCAACGGCGTTGTCCCCCTGGTACCTATTGTTTGCCCTCGTCCTGTCTCATTCTCTCACAGATTTGAAAATAGGGGACGCTGAGAATTATTCGGAGGTGGAGGACGTGTAACGCACTCGTTTGGGTTTTTTCAAAATATATTTTTTTCCCGATTTTTGCTCAACTAATAACCTTGATAATAATAAACTCCTGAAATCATGGTGTCACTTGCTGGTGAAATCAATTTGGAGTCACCAATGAAATCACTGAAATCGCTGACATCAGTGAAATCAGAAATCTTGTGATTCTCATTCATGAAGTCATTTATTGAAGTCACAATGAAATCATTTGCAGTTAATGAAATCCATGAAATCACGAGGGAATCCCTCGACCGAAAATACACCACGTTCTACACTCGTTCTAGAATTTTTGGTTCGAGAATTTTGTAGTTCATACGCGCGTATTGATGGTAACAAAAGAGATATAGGTGTTTTGATATTAAACAATATCGAAAAACAATTTCACCTCCAACGTTTGATGACGAAGGGCACTTGAAAGTTGACCAAAAAATTTTGAGAAGTAAAAAAGTACTTCTAGTATTGTTCATTCGTTTATTAGAAATAATAACAATTTGTAAGCGTTCGTTAAATGTTTTATGATAATAAAATCAATCGTTTTGATAAATAATTATTTGATCTCGATTATTCTTTCAATTTCGGGTCATTGAATTTTCAGTGATTTCAGTTACGTAGAAATCATTGATTTCAGTCGAATAGAGTCAATGAAATCATGATGAGTCATGAAATCACTGGAAATCAGCTCCGGCGATTTTTCGCATTTCCCCAAAATGATTCGTATAATGCACATTTCGATCAACATAAGAGATTAAATAACTTACTCCAACTGTAAGAACCCGTAAGAGATAAAAAACAAATTTTGTTCAAAAAAAAAAAAAATAAAATAAACGCACTCGTCGCTCTCGGCTGAGGCAGCGCAGGTTCCACGCACAGGTCACCGAGCTCTCTTCACCCTCCCCTCTCTTAATATCTGCGTCTCACTCATTTCCTCGTGCAGCCGGATTTTTTTTTCTCTAACAAAAATTGCGAGGAATGGACAAGCGAAAATTATGGGAGAGGATCCGCGATAATGAATTCAACGACAATTACTCATTGAATATTATTTCATTTTACATGACTTTTTCATGCATCAATGGGAGAGATTAATTGCTTTGCACAACACGAAAGTGCGTGAGCGAGATCAATTTAACGACGGTCTCACGATAGATATGTGGAAATGATTGAGAAATCGACGGGTAGGAAGCCGAAGGGGAGTCAAGAAAAGTGAGTGCAGTGGTGTGTGGAGCAACGCCCAAACCAGATAACCAGCCCCGCACAACCATTGCACACACGCACCAGCCGATCTCAAAATGTGTGTGTTACGACTCTCGCAGAAAATGCTCGAGCCGGTCTCGTTGGAATAAAGAGACAGGGAATGGAGTGGGGAAAATGGGGGAAACGAGCCAAGTGGTGGCCCGTCAGGAATGCAGGTCCTGCCATTATCCATTTATTTATTCATCATTCTTCTTCCTAGGGGAAATTAATGCAGCGAAATTAGATGCAGATAGTGAAATACCTCCGACCTTTCGAGACGTTGAGAACAATTTATGAGCAACATTTAATTGAGAAAAGATTTATATCTTTTTCACGATCGAAATGAGGGAAAAAATTGAAATGTTTGGATATCTCCTGACGTTTATTGCGAGTCTCTAGCCAATCGATAAAACCGCGGGGAACAGGTTCCACTCGCAAGACTCGAGAGTGTCTCGGAGACGGAGGGGAAAAAAAAATATCCGGAAAATTAACTTTTCAAGACGGCTATTTCGTAAGTCAAGTCTCACACGAGCCGCAAGAATTTCCGGTGTTATCGCGGTTAAATCGACGGCGATTCCAGCGGTGGGCTGAAGGTTATTGAACAAATTTGCCCATCACCAAATCCAATACAGCCTCCCGTTGTTGTAACACACACGGTGGTCCGTGGAATGCGTGTATGGATACTCTCCCCTGTCGACCTCGCGTCAAACCCACTATCTCCGTCCTTTTCACTTCACCTCATGCCTTCCTCCTCCCGCCCTCTCTTCGCCCCTCCGCACACATTTTTCGCAATTTTTGTTTCCCCTTTTGCAGTCTCTCGCTCTCTCTTCTCCACACGCTTTCTCATGGGTTAACGTGCGTCATATCACGGCGACTTTTTACTCTCATAGTCCCTCCCGGGCCCCCAAGGCAACCACCGTGCGCCGTTTGAGCGCCTTCTAGCCTTCTTGGTGCCCTGGCTGTCTACTTGTCTGCAGACCGAAAGAGGGAACTTGCAGGAATTTTTTTCAATCTTCTAATCTCAAGTTTGGGGCCTGAATAATTCATTTTTCATTCACAAACGTTGAAAATATTGTTCATTAATTAGTAAGCAGTTGACAGTCGAGGATTTCAAACGTTTTGAAGTCGCTAATTACGTCACAGAAACGGTCGAGCGTTGGACCAATCATCAATCTTGAGGTGCGCTTTGACCAATGGGGGACAAGTTTCCACTCTCTTCTTTTTCGACCAATGACCGTCTTCGTGAAGTCATGACTCGGAAACTACTGATTTTCCGCGAAATTTACTGAATTAACTAAATTATCATGAGACATCTAGGCAGTGATGCCGCGAGACGAGATGAGACGAGACGAGAAACAGTATTTTCTTGTCTCGTCTCGTTGTCAGGAAACCATTCTCTCGTCTAGTCTCGTCTCGTCTCTATAATCCAATTTGCACAAAAAAAAATACACAGAGGTACAGAGAGGGGGAAGCTTTCTCGACTCTCGTCTCGTTTGTCTCGTCTTGTCTCGTCTTGCCTTATCTCGTCTCGATAATCCATTTTGCACGGAAAAAAATACACCGAGAGAGAGAGGGGGAGGCTGTCTCGACTCTCGTCTCGTCTCGTTTGTCTCGTCTCATGAGATGAGACGAGACGAGAAACTGCATCTTCTTGTCTCGTCTCGTTGTCAGAAACCCATTCTCTCGTCTAGTCTCATCTCGTCTCATCTCTATAATCCAATTTGCACAGAAAAAAAATACAAAGAGGTACAGAGCGGGGGCGGCTCTCTCGACTCTCGTCTCGTTCGTCTCGTCTTGTCTCGTCTTGCCTTATCTCGTCTCTATAATCCAATTTGCACGGAAAAAAATACATCGAGATGGAGAGAGGGAGAGGCTGTCCCGACTCTGGTCTCGTCTCGTCATGTCTCTCGTCTCGTTTGTCTCGTCTCGCCTTGTCTCGTCTCTATAATCCAATTTGGACGGAAAAAAATACACAGAGGAGCAGAGAAGAGGAGGCTCTCTCGACTCTCGTCTCCTCTCGTTTCTGTCATTGTCTCGAATGACTCGTCTCGTCATGTCTCTCATCTCGTTTGTCTCGTCTCGTCTCGCGGCATCGCTACATCCAGACAATATTTCCCCATAATTTTCCCCATTTAGCTATCCATATCTCACGAGAAATGTGCGACCAGAGAAATTAGAAAGAGCTCTTCGAAGTTACGTTTTGCCTGCTTATCCTCGGTTCTCCTACAAATTTATCCAATCCCCTCCCTCCTCCACCTCTCTGCGTATCCTCATTCGCCATAGTATATTTATACCGCCCGTGTTGGCCGCCATGTGCGTGTCCATTTCCGCGCGAAGGTCGTTCACGGGGACCGGAAGTGGGCCGTCCTTGCTCGAACGACCGTTACGTACTCACTCTAGAAGGCAGTTTGGCTATTGTCCAACGTTTTAATCCCCCACCCTCCGCGCATTTTCCCTCAATTAGTCCTTGATACTGTCTCAATTGACTTTGATTTAACTCGAAAATATGATGCTCATTGCAGAACACAAGCCGAGGGTAACAGCTCAGGAGTTTAAAGTATCCGGGAGTAGCTGTAATCGACGAGGGTCTTGCTCAGGATGCTGAGCAATCATCCTACGTTAATAGACTTAGGGTCACGTGAAGAGGAGGAAGAAGGTGCGTGGCTATTTGCCCGAGGGAGGATACACGTCCTCAACAGCTGAGAATGTCGGAGCAAAACGCTCCCACAGACGGCCCAGGCTGGTGGCCACCAGCGCAACCATGGAAAAGTTCGTCCACGAGTGTTGCTGGCACATCAGTTGTGACACGCAATCCTGAGACGGGGAAAAATGTATCAGTGACGACAATCAATGTACCACCGGTACAGGATATGCACGATGGTAAATACTCATTGAATTTAGTCGTTTTTTTTTCGGGGAATATTAAGTTCAACTTCAATAGCGAAGCGGCAAAACGGGTCAAGTCGCAATTTTGGGAGAAATCCATTTCAGAGGAGCTGAGTCGACATAAGCCGAAAAAAATGATTTAAAAATGAGCCAAGTCGACTCAGCTAGTTTTGTATGGATTCAATGGGCATTCTTAATATGGGCATTCTTAATCTTCTTAAATTGGAGTAGTTTGAATTAAAGAATTGGATTTCTAGCTTTCCCAATTTTATTATGACTTTAGAATAAAGGAAAATTAATTCAATCCATCCACCTGATAATTTGTCAATCGATTTTTTTTTATTGAGTGGCTTAAGTCGATAAAAATTGTTAAAAAATAGTCTAGAGAAGTTGCATCTTATCATGCTAAAATCTCTCTCGATATTGAACGAAATCCGTGCCTGAGTTTGATTAAATTCACAAAAGGACAGTCACTATCAGTTTTTCGGCTCTCCTGTACAATTCACATTTTTCGACTTAACCCGGTTTACCGCTTCGCTACTGACTTGTGGTTTTCTCTCGACCCTTTTGCGCAGAGAAGTGAGAAGGGGAATTAATGCTTTGGCTTTCAGGCACGTACCCGGGGAGATTATTACTGCACATGCTTTCCTTCTCATTTCCACTCGCACAGCCCTCTTGCGACACTTGTTCACGTAAACCTGTTGTATTTTAGAGCCGTCAAACATCAATTTCATATGCATTCCACAGGGCTGAGCATGTTTCATTGGGCGAACTAAAAATTGCATTTTTCTTGTTTCTATTTGTTATTCTCTTGAAAAAAGTCGCACTTCCACTGCCGTTAACGATCAGCAGTAATTTTAATTTGTTATTTGAATTGAAAAACAGGAAATAATTGAGAGCTTTTCATTCGTAAATTGCGGATAACAGTTATGAAGGGCTCAACAGGTGTCTGTTTACCATTGGATTTTCCTCATTTTGGGGATTTCTTTGGTTTAAAATATTTTTGTCACAACTTTCAAAGTAACTCATGGGCTGTATTACATCATTTCAACATTTTAACATTGAATTCCACGTTATTCCACTCATTCTATTTTCTTTATCATTATTTTCATTGTTTGGGTCATTGGAGTTGTCATTTAAGATAATTTGAGATATCTCATGACTTATTGGAAAAGAAAAAAATAAGATGAATAGAACAAATACTATATTTTTTTATATTAATTTATTTATAATAAAATAAAAAAATATTAATATTAATATTTTATTAAAATTAAATAAAAATGATTATTAAAAATAATAAATTGAATAATAATATTAATATTAATGATTTATATTAAATATTAACATTTCATGTTCATTTTATCATATTGTTTTAAATAACAAAAATTCTACATATTTATCATTTTAAAATATTTTCTTATCAATACATAAGATAATCAAGTTTAGAATGGAAAATTTCATGACTTATTGAAAAAGAAAAAAATAAGATGAATAGAACAAATACTATATTTTTTTATATTACAATTTTTTCCCCATTTTATTAAAAAATTAATCAATTTTTTTTTATATTTAATTTATTTCTAATAAAATAAAAAAATATTAATATTAATATTTTATTAAAATTAAATAAAAATGATTATTAAAAATAATAAATTGAATAATAATATTAATATTAATGATTTATATTAAATATTAACATTTCATGTTCATTTTATCATATTGTTTTAAATAACAAAAATTCTACATATTTATCATTTTAAAATATTTTCTTATCAATACATAAGATAATCAAGTTTAGAATGGAAAATTTCATGACTTATTGAAAAAGAAAAAAATAAGATGAATAGAACAAATACTATATTTTTTTATATTAATTTTTTTTCCATTTTATTAAAAAATTAATCAATTTTTTTTTATATTTAATTTATTTCTAATAAAATAAAAAAATATTAATATTAATATTTTATTAAAATTAAATAAAAATGATTATTAAAAATAATAAATTGAATAATAATATTAATATTAATGATTTATATTAAATATTACCATTTCATATTCATTTTCTCATATTGTCTTAAATAACAAAAATTCTACATATATATAATTTTTAAATATTTTCTTATCAATACATAAGATAATCAAGTTTAGAATGGAAATACTCCAAAGTGAGGCACAGCGGATTAGCTGCTGACCCAACCGTTCCATCCTTTCTTTAAAAAGGAATATCTCCGAATCCAAGACAGCTATCAAAATTTTCGACACCTTTTCCCCAGCCCCACCTCGCCGTCCAAAAAAGGTCCCCACAAAAATGTCCCCATCCCCCTCAGCTCCGTAGAAACCCCCGAAACCCTCAGACGTGAATTCACAATTCCCTCTTTTCTCGGCAGGCAAAAGCGTCAAGTACCTGGGAGGCCAGAACGGCGTGACAGTATCAGTGGTGTCGTCCTGCGGCAGTAGCCCCAGCCCAGGACTGAATGGGCCGGAGCCAGGCTCAGTGGACGATCTCGAGGAAAGCGATGGCGAAGTCAGCAAGATCGACTTCCGTGGCGTCAACTTGCGAACGAAGAAGAAGCGGGACGGCGACCCAGACAGCGTCTCAACGGCGGACGACTCCCACGAGCAGCCGGAGCGTCCGATGTCCTGGGAGGGTGAGCTGTCAGACCAGGAGATGTCCTCGAACACGCTCGCAACCCAGGAGCACGAGGAGACCTCGATGGAGGGAGTGCAGGTGTGCAGTCTGAGTCCTGGGCCCCAGGAGCAAAAATTCCCGATAAAGCCTGAGCCAGATTACCGCTCAAGTCCTGGCACCCCCCAGGGCCACACAGACCCTGCGATGCCCCAGGCCCACAGCCAGAGCCTCCAGCACCCCCAGCCCCACCCCCAGAGGGACCTCGAGCCGAATCATCAGAGCGACCTCCCCCTTCTGGTCGGCAAACTCCTCGGGGGCTACAGCAGTTCGACCCCCAACCACAGCCCCATCCTGAACCCTCGTCACCACCTGCAGAAGCACAGCCACACGAGATCCCAGGTCCCATCCCCAGACTCAGCAATCCACTCAGCCTACAGTGTCTTCAGCTCTCCAACTCAGTCACCCCACGCAGCTCGACACAATGCCCTCGGCGCTGGCAGCCCAGTGCCCTCGTCCTCCCTCTCGTTATCCCGCCACAGCTTCAACAATTCCACCTCCTCCCTCTCCCTCTCCCTCTCTCACTCCCTGTCGCGAAACAACTCAGACGCCTCCAGCAGCTGCTACAGCTACGGCTCCCTGAGCCCACCCACCCACTCACCAGTGCAACAGCCCAGGCACCCCCACCCCCATCACCACCAGATCCCCCAGGGGAGCCCCCTGCACCTGCCCTCGGGCTCGGCGAGTGCCCACTACTCTAGCCCACCTGATCTGACCAACGACCCCCACAACGACGAGGAGGACTGCAAAATACCCTCTGCACCATCGGGCATATCGACCAGGCAACAGCTCATCAACAGCCCCTGCCCAATATGCGGGGACAAGATAAGCGGCTTTCACTATGGCATTTTCTCGTGTGAGTCATGCAAGGGCTTCTTCAAACGCACTGTCCAGAATAGGAAGAACTACGTCTGCCTCAGGGGGGCTGGCTGTCCTGTCACTGTTGCCACGAGGAAGAAGTGCCCTGCCTGCAGGTTCGACAAGTGTCTCAATATGGGAATGAAGCTCGAGGCCATTCGCGAGGACAGGACTAGGGGTGGGAGGAGCACCTATCAGTGCACTTATACACTTCCAGCTAATCTCATGGGCAGTGCTGGGGGCATGGGGGATAAAGTCAATGCTGGGAACTGCAGTCCAGCTCCGGGGGAGCATCATCACTCGGCGAGACATCACTGGAATCATTCGCATAATAAAATGCAGGTTGTGCCCCAGCTGCTGCAGGATATCATGGATGTCGAGCATCTTTGGCATTATAATGATAATGATCGGGCTGGACAGGGGCAGGGGGGTGCGGGGGGACAGGGGAATGGGCTGGGGGAGTCCCTGGGGATCGCCACTGGGAGCAATGGAAATGTCGAGGGGAGGGGGGAGCCGGGGGGCTCCAGTCCTGGGCATTGTCAGGGGAATTGTCAGGAGCAGACGTCGACGAACGAGGGGACCAATGAGGGGGGCAACTCCAGTGGCAATGGGAACTCACAGCCACCCGACTTTCTGTCGAATTTGTGCAATATCGCTGATCACAGGCTTTATAAGATTGTCAAGTGGTGCAAGAGTCTGCCACTTTTCAAGAATATTTCGATTGATGATCAGATTTGTTTGCTGATTAATTCGTGGTGCGAACTGCTGCTGTTCTCGTGCTGCTTTCGGAGCATGAGCACCCCGGGGGAGATCAGGGTGTCCTTGGGGAAGTCCATTACTCTGGAGCAGGCCAGGCAGCTGGGGCTGGCTACCTGCATTGAGAGGATGCTCGCGTTCACTAATAACTTGAGGAGACTCAGGGTGGATCAGTACGAATACGTTGCGATGAAGGTAAATTGAGGTTTGGGGACGTTGGGGTGATTTTATATTGGGGGAGGTTGGGTGAAATCGACACTTGAATTTTTTTTTAATTTAGGGACTCGTTGAAATGCTCAGGAAATTCAAGTTTTTTTTTCAATGTAGAGAACAATTCAGTAGCGAAGCGGTAATCCGGGTCAAGTCGACTTAGCCCTTCGCTGAGTTTTCGAGGAATATCTCCGAATTCAAGAGAAATAGCGAAATTTTCATTATTAGCTTTTTTGTAGAGCGAACTGAGAGCTACAAAAAAGGTTATTACAAAAAATTTCTATGTTCCTTAGGTTCCGAGATATTATATACTGACCAATAGTCTAAATCGACTTAAACCGGTTTACCGCTTCGCTACTGAATTCTTTCCCTCTGTGATGGGCCTAAACTGAGCTCTATTGATACATTTGTTTCTGAGTTATGAGTAATTTTAAAAAATTTTGCGCTACCCTCCCCTAGATTTACTGAGGATGAAAGAAACGTGAAGTTGATTTATGGTTTTCCGTTTCACTTTTGACTTTTTTTAAAATGTTAGTGATTGGTTGAAATGCTGAAGAAATTTAATATTTTTTTTTTCAATGCAGAGAACAATTCCTTCCCTTTGTGAGGGGCCTAAACTGAGCTCTGTTGATACATTTGTTTCTGAGTTATGAGTAATTTTAAAAATTTTTGCCCTACCCTCCTCTAGATTTACTGAGGATGAAAGAAACGTGAAGTTGATTTATGGTTTTCCATTCACTTTTGACTTTTTTTAAAATGTTAGTGATTGGTTGAAATGCTGAGGAAATTTAATATTTTTTTTTTTCAATGCAGAGAACAATTCCTTCCCTTTGTGAGGGGCCTAAACTGAGCTCTATTGATACATTTGTTTCTGAGTTATGAGTAATTTTAAAAAATTTTGCGCTACCCTCCCCTAGATTTACTGAGGATGAAAGGAACGGGAAGTTGGTTACGTGAAAATGTCGAGAAACTTCGTGAACGGTAATCCCCAGTTCTGATTGGTCGAGTGGCGTGAAATAGTCGCTGAAAAAAATCCACGGTTTTTTCAAATTCTTCAAACGCCAAAAATTTTTTCTGCGTCGTATTTATCGTTTTTTTTATGGGTGAAGTTTAATATCACTTCAGTAATAAGAATAACATCAAATAAAAATTATTTGACACCCGCAGGTGATGAGAAAAAATCAATCAATCTGATGAATAAAATCAATATTCGAAAAATGTTCAAATGCAAGACTCCCCTTCCGTTTTACCCCCGGTGATCTGCACAAGAACCACCTTAAACCGTTTTACCGCCTCGCTCCTGGTTTATTATCACCAATATTCGCCATCAATGAATAATTTTTTTCTCCGCAGGTGATAGTACTATTAACTTCCGACACGAGTGAATTGAAAGAACCCGAGAAGGTCCGCGCCTCCCAGGAGAAGGCACTCCAAGCCCTCCAGCAGTACACGATAGCGAGGTATCCAGAGATGCCAGCGAAATTCGGAGAGCTCCTTCTCCGAATACCCGATCTCCAGAGGACCTGCCAAGCCGGCAAGGAGTTGTTGAGTCAAAAGCGCGCAGAGGGCGAGGGCAGCTCCTTCAATCTACTCATGGAGCTCCTCAGGGGCGACCACTGAACGAACAAATCCAATTGATCTGGTCTTCAAGGTGAATGAAAAAACGACAAGTTCTTCCATGGAAAATTTATCAAACCCATGATCCCTCGCTTATCGAGTCCACGAGCGCCCGGGAATCAGGTTGTAGTTGTTAAGGCGATAGTTCGAATGACTGCACTGAGAGAAAGACGACAAAGTTCTCAAACAAGTCTTACTTGTGCCAAGAAAATCATTTTTTGAAAATTATCAAAAAAGCATTTTTTGCGCCAAACATGCAGAGAGTGCGCTGGAATGAAAAATTTTTGTCGCAGAAGTAGATTCAGTAGTTCAAAAAAAATTGCATTCTCTCTATTTAGCTCTCGGCTGTCTGATAATCACAGGCAATAAATGAACCCTCAAATGAAACAATAATAATGACATGACAGCAATCATGTAACTTTTGTCAATTTTCAGCCAGCGATTTTGCTGGCCCAAACAAGACTTGTTTGACAACGTGTTTGTTTTTCTCTCAGTGTAGAGAGAATCTAAATGAAGAAAATATACAAAAAAAAATGACTGTAACTTGCGGATCGTCCGTTATAGCGATTAGCTCACTGGTGAGGGGACACACATTCTTTTTTCCAAGAGAAAAGAATTATTCTAGACTTAGAGCGATAGATGACTTATACAATAATATATATTTTATACTGAGAAATAATGCTTCCATTGAAGACGAACGGAGGGGCTTGCGCTCTTGCATTCCTGCCTTGATACACAGGAGTTCTTGTTTATTGATAATTTTTTTTTCTTTTTTTTTTATTGAAGAGGCCTGTCCGGTTACTGTTCGTAGCGTCCAAGCGTGCGTCCAGGTGCAAGTGAGACTGAAATTTTATTAGGGACGAGGGCTCGGGGGAATTGGACGCGCGCACTATTTTCTACTTCTCCTTATTACAATGTTATTGTTGTGGAGAAAGGATGAGTGAATGGATTCTGTTTTGTATGTAGTTGAAGATAATGAGGGAGAATTTGTAACATTGCGGCGAATCCACCAGTATTTTGTACCGTTTTTTTTTTAACGTTTACTTAATGGCGAAGCATGATTGTCTCCCAGTAACGAGAATGTACTTAAAAAGCGAAACAAACAAAAAAAGGATTTAATTTTAAATGCTTGATGATTTAAGTAGCTTACGTAGCCATGTGCCTTTCCCGAGATGGCAATTTGAATTTTTGAGATGATATTTTTTCATTGAATTCAACCAGATGTTCGTACTTTAATGCCTATTCCTGTCGTTTAATGTGATTTGTCGACAGAATTGGGGAAATTGTTTTGAAGCTTTGGCTAGGGGATTATTCGCCAGTGGAATCGCAAATTTCTTTTCGAGTGCAAATGAATTTGCGACTGGATTCACCGCGATCGAATACTTCACTAGTTTGGCTTCATGAAATCAGTGGCGAAGTGGTAAAACGGTTCAAGCAGACTATTGGCCGGTTTTTAGTGAATATCTCGGAATCTAAGGGAGATAGCTGAATTTTTGTGAGAACCTTTTTTGTAGGGCTCAAGTTTCTCTAGAAAAAAGGTCATTATGAAAATTTCATTATCTCCTTTAGATTCGGAGATATTCGGCGAAAACTTAATTAAGTGATGAGTCGACTTGAACCGTTTTACCACTTTGCTACTGAAATTGTTTTTTATTCAGTGCCTACGTCGAGACTAGTTGCTGGGCGTTAATTCAGTAGCGAAGTGGTAAAACAGTTTAAGTCGACTCATCTCCGAGTTGAGTTTTTGAGGAATACTTCCGAATCTACGGGAGATGGCGAAATTTTTGTAATGACTTTTTTTGTAGAGCGAATTGAGAGCTACAAAAAATGTTGAGACAAAAATTTTGGTATTTCCCTTAGATTCCGAGATTTTCACTGAAAAATGGTCAACAGTCAAAATTTGCTTATACACTGAGAGAAAAACGAGTTTTCAAACAAGTCTTACTTGTGCCAGGAAAATAGTTTTTTGAAAATTATCAAAAAAGGATTTTTTTGTGCCAAACATGCAGAGAGTGCGCCGGAGTGAAAAATTTTTGTCGCGAAAATAGATTTAGTAGTTCAAAAAAAATTGCATTCTCTGCAGACGCAAGAAACGTCATTTCTAGCACTACTCCTTCGTTATTCGATACTCCCATACGTATTTAGCTCCCGAAAAATCTTTTTTTTATGCGAAACAAGGGATAGTAGTTTTTCGTTTCGGCTGTCTAATAATAACAGACAAGAAATGAACCCTCAAATGAAACAATAATAATGATATGACAGCGATCTTGTAACTGGGATAAAATATTTGTTGATAAATTGTCCTCTAGATGAGATATTTTAATCCTGAAAAGGCACCGTCTGGTGTGAATTATCCGCCTCTTGAGCCAAATATTTCGTTGCTGTCGAAAGCAGAACAATTATTCATGTTTGAGACTCTCAAATTCGAACCAAACAAATTTTGTTTGAGAACGTATTTGTTTTTCTCTCGGTGTACCATTTTACCACTTCACTACTGAATTATTCCGTGACTGAGTGTATGAGTACTATGTAATAGTTTAGTGTCTAGCGTGCACTGGAGAACATGGAATGATCGAGTGGATTTGATAGCCCGTTGGCCGTAGTCTTTTATGAAATTTTATTATTTTTAAAAATTTCGTGTCTATGTTTCACGCGCCGTGTATCGTGGTTGATATGCGTTCTGGCGCGTGCATTGTTGGCCTTTTGTGCTCTTCCGGCATTTTTGAGCGATGCCGTAGTGGGCGATTGTCTGTGCGAATAGTTGTGGTGATGAAAATTGAAACTTTTTGATGAAAACTCTTTTTTAATGCCCAACAAAAAGACTGCGATGGGGAGAGTGTGTACAGAACATGATGAATCACCAAATATGCGTGGGACAAACGTGCATTAATGACGCCTGATGATCAGGGGCTAGATAGTTTTTAGTATACGCTGGCGATACTTGACGATCATTTCGGACAAAGTGATAGATCACTCGTTCATCCCCGCATATTGAAGATTAATTCGTAATAGGGAACTTGCATAGAGTCCACTTTTCGAATATTTTTAAATGAATAGAGTCTTTGGTGTCTGTGAACCATTCCAGAGTAAAAAGTTTTCCGAAAGGTGGTCTGGATATTTTGTAATAACTGATTAAAAAGGCATCAATTTTGAAAACTTTTTTTGGGGTGATGACGTCAATTCACCGGAATCAAGTTCCCCTTGCGACTACTAGCAGCGCTATTGAGTTATTCTAGCCTCTCAAAGTGCGAGACCTTCAACCAAAACAAATCGAGGGAGTTATGTTTGAAACAATTATTAAAAGTGGATAAAAAAAATATATTGGCACTAACAAATGAAGTTTGTGCTGAAAAATGATTTTCAAAAGGCGTGCTCGGGGAATTTACCAACGGTAGACGTGACTATGTTGATAGATTTTATGGGTTTAAATCTGTGTCAAAGTGTCGAAAGTCGTGGTTGTATAATTTTCACTGTTGTATTTTTACATCCTGGTACAAAACAATATTTATAAGGAGCTTTCATCACTCGATCCGGTTTTTCTGACACTTTCGAGCCTAGTACATGTACAGAGTATTTTCCTAGATTTCAGCAGCTGTACTGAACCGCTTGACGGCGCCACACGACAATTTCGGCCTCCGGTGAGTTGACGTCACAGGCCTTTTTAGAACGTTTAAAAAATGCAATTTTTAAAAGCAAATAAATAATTACTCAACTATTTTCCGTGTGTTTCCGTGTCAAATATGAGTTCTTGGGGGCATATATTTGAGGAAATTTTTTTTTAAAAAAACATGCGAGTTCCCTATTGTGATTGAATGTTCGGCAACTGAATTTGTGGTCTGTGGTGGTTTTTAGAGCGACTGAAATTGAGAAACTTCATCGTAATACTTAATGTAATGGTAATAGGAAGAAAAAGTATCCAGTATTCCCGATGATTCATAATAAAATTGGTATTATAAATGTTAAAAGTGAGTGTCAGTTGAGTTAGGGCGAGGAGATGTGTAAATATTGCGAAGAAAAAAATATTGAAAACATTTTATACGATTGAGGACTCGCCAACTTTGCGCTAGGTGAATGAATGAGTGGTGATGATTTGTGAGAGATTTTTATCTGAATGCAAGTAATTTTTTTCAACGATTGAGCGTTGAAAGTCAATGATAAAGATCGATATTTGCCTGTTGAAAAGTGACTATTCTATGTTTATATTTGATAATATAGCTATTTCTACGTCTTTTTAATGTAATACTTATGATTACAAGTCGAGACAGATTGTTTTTTATATGAACAGATGGAAAAAATCCAATATTGATTGAATTATTTATGCCCTCGTTGATGGGAACGAGATGATGATGGAGAAAAACATTATTTCAGTGAATAAATGCAGCTATTTTTTGTAAATCAGGAGCGTGGCTGCAGTCTGAGTATCCCCAATGATTTTTATCACGAAAAATGAGAGATTTATGAGGAGCATTCCACGACAAATGAGTCAACTGGCCGACCCTTACTCTCTTGGAATTTAGTGGCGATTTTTTTACATTTTTCCGTTTTTTCCCGATAACTCGAGTTCTATTCGTCCGATTTTGATTTATTAAGCGTCAATATTTTCCATTTTTTACCGCCTATGCGAGGAATTTCCGGTACATTTTTTTTTCGACTCCTAGATGCTCATAATAACGAATTTTCGAATAAAAAAAATTGAAAAGTTGAATTTTGCAAATTACGTCACTTTTGATTTGTTTCATTTTTTTTCAGTAATTCTTACAATCAAAACAAGTATTTTCAGCCGTCATTTAAGTTCGGCATCCGCTTGGATCTATTTAATTTTCAATTTTTTCTTTTCGAAATTTCGCAAATTTGGTCAAAACACCCCTAAACGCCCTCGATTATGTATCGAAAAATATGTAATATATAGGTATACAGTCAAATTCACTTTATACTGTCAATAATCAAAGTTAATCAACGCCATTTTGGGGTGTTTTGACCAAATTTGCGGAATTTCGAAAAGAAAAAATTGAAAATAAAATGGATCTAGGAGGATCCCCAACCTGTATGACGGCTCAAAATACTTGTTTTGATTGTAAGAATTACTGAAAAAAAAATGAAACAAATCAAAAGTGACATAATTTACAAAACTCGACTTTTTGAACTTTTTTTATTCGAAAATTCGTTATTATGAGCATCTAGGAATCGGAAAAAAATGTACTGAAAATTCCTCGTATAGGCGGTACAAAATAGAAAATTTTGACGCTTAATAAATCAAAATCGGATGAATAGCTCTCGAGTTATTGAAAAAAACCGGAAAAACGAGAAAAAAATCATATCTCCAAACTGGTCGGCCGAAAAAATCTGAAAAAATTTGAGAGATAGTTTTTCAACTCCCCCAATCGTAGAAAAAATCGGAATCAATTCCCAAGAGGGTGAGAGCCAACGGTCGACTCATTTGGCGTGGAATACCTCATACCACGCACGAAAAATTTAATAGAAAAACCAATCGACTTCGTTAGAAAATTCTATTGAATTTCTACGAATCTTTCTATTAGTTTTTGGCTGATTCTATTGACATGTTCAATAGAAAACATTCAATCGAAAAAGTCAACAGAATTCGATTTTTCCATATAACTTATTCTTTTCATATATTTTCTATAGAATTTGCTCGACTCAAATTTTCTAAGTATTTTTCATTCAATTATTCTTTTCTTCTCACCAAGAGAATCGAACGAAAAAACTTGGAAAATTTGAGCCGAGGAAATTCTGTAGAAAATATCTCAATAGAATAAGTTATACAGAAAAATTGAATTCTATTGACTTGTTCTACTGAATATTTTCTACTGAACATCAATTGAATCAGTCGAAAACTAATAGAACAGTTCAACAGAAATTCAGTAGAATTTCCCAACGAAATCGACAGGTTTTTCTATTAAATGGTTTCTTCCGTGATGCAAAAACATTCGTCAATGATGACAATATTTAGGTGAGACATTGAGAATAAATCGAATCGTATTAGATATTCGAAAGAGCTTAATAATGACAGACTGTATTTTGAATTAAATGCATAAAAACACATCTATGAGTAATAGTGATACGAATTGATAAGCCTAAGCATTAAGGAGAGTTGAACAGAGAGCCGTGTAATGATAATGAAAGATATCCCTGTAGCAATAGTGCGTTTGACAGATACTCATCGAGTATTTCCCTCATGTCGATATTGCACTCGACAATATCAGCAAAACAGTCCAAATCAGAGGAACAATGAGTTGTAATAATTTTTGACTATCATCAAAGCTTGAATTGTGAACGAAAGAAAGTTTTGAATCAATCCAATTCCGTACTCAATGTAGGCACAAGGCTATTTGAAGCTGACACAGTTGAACGTCGCAGTTTTATAAACAGTACGAATTTTCATTGGAAAATAAAAGAAACTTTTTACAAAAGTGAATTCTGTTGGCTTTCTTTCACTTCGTGATTATTTCAGCAGCGAACTTTAGATAACTTTTTCTGTAGAGCACATTGAGTGCTACAGAAAAGGTCTGAACAAAAATTTTGCTATCTCCCTTGGATTTCGAGATATTCATTGAATACTGACTCGATAGTAAAATGGTTTAGGTTGATTTTGACTATTCGCACGGTTTTCAAAGGATATCTGCGATTCTAAGGCAGATAGCGAAATTTTTGTTATAACTTTTTCTGTAGAGCACATTGAGTGCTACAGAAAAGGTCTGAACAAAAATTTTGCTATCTCCCTTGGATTTCGAGATATTCATTGAATACTGACACGATAGTGTAAATTTGAATTATATTGTTCAGTGGATTAAGGTGTTTCGGTTGCAAAGTCAAAATAATGAAAAAAAATTGGAAAATTCAGGGGAGAGAATTCTAAGTATGCAGCATCATTGAGAATTTTTGCACATTTTTTCCAGATCGCAGTTTCAAGAAAAAAAATAATGAAATTTGGATGTTTTTGTGAGCCCTCCAGCTATAACCTCTGAGGTTATCCCACTCTCAATCAGAGAAATTTCCATGGCAGCCAAAAAAATAATGAACTATTAAGGAAAAACTAGTGGCTGACAAATCAAATCTTTCTTGAGAACACGTATAAGTTTCCGATTTTTTTCCGATTTCATAAGAAAGTTATTTGAACAAATGATTCGGAAAATTATGAGTTTCGGGGCAATTACGCCCTCACGCGCAGGCGCGTGATTCGAATGTTAGTGAGCACCTGGGAAAGTTATGGGTTGGACCACGGAACTGAGAGAGAGAAAACACTCGACAGGTTTACCAACTCGAGACGCATTTTAATATTATTCCAATAATTAGAATAACACCCAATAAAAATTATTTGACACCCGTAGGCGATGAGAAAAAAATCAATCAATCTGATAAATAAAGTCAATACTCAAAAAATGTTCAAATGCCCACTTAAATAGTTACTTGAAAATTGGAGAATTTCGTGCTCAGCGATTGAATCAGGGCTCGAGAACAATGAGACTTCCCTTCCGTTCCACCGCCCGGTGATCAACCTACGAAACACCGTAACAGAAATCAGGAATTTTCCTGCAATTTAACATGTTCATTTTTTATTTCTCGCACCTTGACAATGAGATCATAGTGTTTTCATTTCCCCAAAAATTTAATTGAATTCAAAAAACAGCGCCAATGAACAACTCAGTCGGTAAAAGCACTTCTCCCCCACAATTCTACCAACTGCGCAGACCTCTCGGTTTTATCGCCGTTGAGTTGGAGAGCCCGAACCAGACGGTGTCTTGTGATCGAACAGCTGAACAGTGAAACAGAGTAGAATATTTAAGCCACTCCAGTTGCAGAAAAAAATTCATAGAAAACTCTCGTGGCAGCAGAGTTGGTGTGATCCTGCGACAGAAGGAATTGCACAATTATGGCCGATCGCAACAACATAAATCAGATGATTCCGGCACTGCCAGAGGAGAAACACGGTAATTGCTCGTCGACTCTATTTATTTCCTCGCACCTGACACTGCCACTCCCACGACATCCAAAACGATCTTTATTTAACCGTGGGAATGTCCAAGATTTTGGTGTCAACACCTCACGACGAATCCAAGTTCAACGTCAATCCCTGTTGGCGATGATAATGGAGTCCATTTATTCTTCAACTTCACTTTGTTCGCAGATATGCTGGCAGCCACTAGTGTTTTGCAGCAGCAAGCCTCTGACATCAGAAATCAGAAGATCAATTGGCAGTCTTATTGCCAGTGAGTGTCAGCAATTGTCTGTACCATTTATTCACGAGTTTACTGATTAATTATTCAAGGACGTTTATCCAAAATCGCAAGTACTTGAAAAAAATTGATTTTTTTTAAACTGAGAGATGAAGATATTCCCTCAACTTTGATACAAATTTCAATTCACCAACCCATGTTCATTATTTAGAAATGAATTATTAGAATATTACATATTAGACATATTAGAATAGACATTATTTAGAATAATTCAAATATTTCCTCTTTTTGCCCGGTTACAGATCTCAGATGATCTCGAAGGAGGACTATGACTTCATCGTAGCCTTTGACACGAACGAATCAGCTGTCAAGGACGCAATGCTCAAGGAGAATCCCAATCAAGCAGCCAAGACTTTTTTAAATCTCCTGGGACACGTCTCCAAGGACCAAACGATCCAGTACATCCTCACAATGATCGACGACATGCTCCAGGTGTTTATCCGGCAACATATCAACTAGTTTTTCCGAAATTACCATATTTTTAGGAATTAGCCGAAATTCATTCATTTTCATTTTCAATTTAATTTCCTTTTATTCTTTGCTTTTCACCAGACAACGTAATGCAACTCAATTTAACCACTCAACAAATGCATTAATAATTAATATCACCGGAAAATTCAATTTTTTTTCTATTAATCATAAGAGATCAATAATTTAGTATTAATAGCTGATTCGATAATATTTTTTTGCCGTTTTCCGAGTACTGAATTGATTAAATTGTATTTCGTGTGGATTATCCCCTCTCAAATTTCTCACCGGATAATGTAAATATGTTTATGAATTCGTAAGCACACGAATATTTTTTTTATAATACTATATTTTTAGGCATTAGCCGGAATTCTTTTTCATTTTCATTTTTTTTATTCTTCGCTTTTCAACAGACAACGTAATGCAACTCAATTTAACTACTCAACTAATACATTAATCATTATTATCACACAAAGATTCAATTTTTTTTCTATTGACAATGATAAAAGTCAATATTCAGTCTTTTCAACTAGGGGACATTTCAATTAACGACAATAATATGATAACAATAATAATAATAACAATAATAATAATAATAATAATAAACAATAATATGGAAACAATAATTGACAATATTCAATAACGATAATAATAATTTCAAGCGTTTGGCGTGGTTTTAAATCTGAGAAGTTGAAATGTCGTAGTTAAAATGTTATAGTTGAAAAGAAAAACATCTTCGTTTATCCTTCTCCTCAACGTAATTTAATTTGCAGGAAGATCGTAGTCGTGTAGAAATATTTCGAGAGCACTCGAACAGAAAGCGAGAGTCCGTCTGGGGCCCATTCCTCAATTTACTCAATAGGCAGGATGGCTTTATCATGAATATGACATCGAGAATCATCGCCAAACTGGCCTGCTGGAGTCATGAGCTCATGGAGAAGACAGATCTCCAGTTTTACCTCACTTGGCTCAAGGATCAGCTTCAGTTGAGTGTAAGTTTGCCACGACAATTACCTCTGCATCTCAATTAGTATTGATTCTGTTCATTTACCAGTTTTTACTATTTCCACATTTTAATTTAGAACTCGAAATCATTAATTTATTATTTGTTCCAGGATGTTAAGCCTTTATTATTATTTTTTCCGCATTTTTCAAATCTAGTTGGTAGAGTGGGATTCACTTGATAGATTGGCTTTTCCTGCATGCTTTACTCTGCTTTTTCTTAATTCTGGAGTAATTCACGCTTACAACCATCAGCTGGGTATTTATCGGAATTTATTATTCATTAGCCTTTTGTAGAATTATTCTCTGTCGGTCACTAACAACCTTTGCTGGATATCATCAAGTAACAGATACTCGTGTCACTCATTCGTTCAGTAGGGAACAACCAAACAGAATCGCACACTGAGAGAGAAATGAACGGGTTCTCGGACGAGTCTCGTTTGAGCAGAAAATCATCACAAGTTCAAAATTACTCGAAAAAGAAATATTTTGTTCCTACGTTGCAGGACTACTATATCTTCGTTATTATATTATTTAAGAATTCATTTTTAAGTCGAAATGAAAAACTACTTTCCCTTATTTCGCATAAAAGAAAAGTTTTTGAGAGCAAAACGCGTTGAATTCAGCAGTGAAGTGGTCGAGTTCTTGTTGAATAACTCGGAATTTAATAAAGATAACGAAATTCAGTGAAGTAGTCGCTGAACAAAATCCCCGGTATTTTCAAATTCCTCGAATGCCAAAAAATTTTCTGCGTCATATTTTTCATTTTTTCATGTGTGAAGTTTATCTTTATATCAAAATCTAAATCACATCTAAATTGCCTAATTGTTGATCATGAGAAAAGAACATAGTATTTCTACATTTTTTAACTCACAAATTTTTCTTCACTTCCCAAATTTTAATTTTTTCATATTTATCATACGCAAAAATGATCAATTCTTGCTTCTCAGATTTTCATACATAAATTCTAAACTCTACAAAATTCATGAAAATTCGATAACGAAATTCAGTGAAGTAGTCGCTGAACAAAATCCCCGGTATTTTCAAATTCCTCGAATGCCAAAAAATTTTCTGCGTCATATTTTTCATTTTTTCATGTGTGAAGTTTATCTTTATATCAAAACACATCTAAATTGCCTAATTGTTGATCATGACAAAAAAACAGTATTTCTACATTTTTTAACTCACAAATTATTCTTCACTTCCCAAATTTTAATTTTTTCATATTTATCATACGCAAAAATGATCAATTCTTGCTTCACAGATTTTCATACATAAATTCTAAACTCTACAAAATTCATGAAAATTCTTTGGTTTCCCAAATAATTCGAGAAAAATCTTTGAAGTTATCTGGAAAGTTGTCAAATTTTTCGAAGAATTCAAGAAATTTTAGCTTTTTCGGAAATCAATTCATAACCCTCCCCTCATTTTTCAACAATTACAAATTTTAATCAGATGATTTTAAAAAGTAAAAGAAAAAGAATTGACGTTTCACTTCATTCTCTTAATTCTCTTCAAGTCATTATCAATATTTATAAAACATCTATGAGTACATGAAGTATAATAAATTCGATTTCTTCACTTTCACAGATCCATTCGATTACTATATTTAAACGTTAATCAACAAAAGTCGAAAACTTTTGTCGAGAGCCTATTCACTTTTCTCTCAGTGCACAGCCAGGCCTTGTCGCTTATGTGCGGGGTAGACACGGTTCCAAAGAAAACATTAAAAAACCAGATTATTCATACGAATGGACCTGTCGAATGGGTTTTTAGTTTGAGGCTGTGCAGGAGACAAATATGCATGCCGAGGTGGTGCAAGACTTGACCCCCAACGAACCTGGAGAGGCCACTGACCTCCAAGAAATGCCCAGTCTGGTTGGTTCTGTAATAACACATCGTACCATAATTAATCGCGTCCTCAGTGACATACGTATCAGCTTCCCCAATCTCTCTCAGCGATTAAAAAATCCCAGAGAGCCGTTAAACATTTTCTCTCCCAGCTGGTGACTACACTGAGAGAAAAACGACAAAGTTCTCGAACAAGTCCTACTCGTGCCAAGAAAATAGTTTTTTGAAAATGATCAAAAAAGGATTTTTCTCTGAAAAATTTTTGTCGCAAAAATAGATTTAGTAGTTAAAAAAAAATTGCATTCTCTTGCAATTGTGAATTATCCGCCTCTTGAGCCAACTATATCGTTTCTGTCGACAGCAGAACAATTATTCATGTTCGAGACTTTCAAATTCGACCCAAACAAATTCACCAGCGAATTGGTAAAACGGTATAAGTCAATCTTGACTATTGACCAATTTGACTAAATATCTCGGAATCTAAGGGGGATAGCAAAATTTTTGTTATAATCTTTTTTGTAGAGCCGACTGAGAGCTCCAACAAATGTACCCACGAAAATTTCGCTATCTCCCTTAGATTCCAAAATATTCCTCAAAAACTCAACGGGGAGATGAGTCGACTCAACCCGCTTCACCACTTCGCTACTGAATTCTCTTTCGCCAATTTCCAACTAGCGATTTTGTTGCCCCCACCAAGACCCGTTCGACACCGTGTTAGTCTCTCTCTCTCAGGGCACAGCTAACAATTATTAATCCAAAAATTTAATTGCAGAACAACGAGTACATTCAGTCGGTCGCGCGCTGCCTCCAGATGATGCTGCGCATCGACGAATATCGTTTCGCCTTCGTCTCAGTCGATGGGATCTCGACGCTGCTGAGTGTCCTGTCTGGTCGCGTCAACTTCCAAGTGCAGTACCAACTCATCTTCTGCCTGTGGGTCCTCACCTTCAACCCCCTCCTCGCCGAGAAGATGAACAAGTTCAACGTGATTCCCATTCTCGCTGACATTCTCAGTGACTCCGTCAAGGAGAAGGTGACTCGCATCATCCTCGCTGTCTTCAGAAATTTAATCGAGAAGGTGGAGGACAATCAGGTGGCCAAGGAGCACTGCATCGCAATGGTCCAGTGCAAAGTGCTGAAGCAGCTGTCGATTCTCTCCCAGCGAAAATTCGACGACGAGGATATCACAGCGGACATTGAATTCCTGAATGAGAAACTCCAGGCATCTGTCCAGGACCTGAGCTCGTTCGACGAGTACTCGACTCAGGTGAAGTCCGGACGCCTCGAGTGGTCGCCAGTCCACAAGTCCAGTAAATTCTGGAGGGAGAACGCCAGTCGCCTCAACGAGAAGAACTACGAACTCCTGCGCATTCTGGTGCACCTCCTGGAGACCAGCAAGGATCCGCTGGTCCTCAGTGTCGCCTCGTTCGACATTGGGGAGTACGTGAGGCACTATCCACGTGGAAAGCACGTTATTGAACAGCTCGGTGGCAAGCAGAGGGTCATGCAACTGCTGAGCCACGAGGATCCCAACGTGAGGTACGAGGCCTTGATTGCCGTTCAGAAACTCATGGTCCACAACTGGGAGTACCTCGGCAAGCAGCTCGAGAAGGAGACTGGGGTCTCCGCAGCACCAGGCACCAAACCTGGCTCGCAAGTTGCCACCAAGGCATAAGTTCATTGTTGTTGATTTACTGTTAATGTGGTTTGAGGGGAGGAGAGTTTTAATTTGCTCGTTAATCTGGTTTTCCTTTTTCAAATTGATTCGACGGAATTAGATGTCAACATTCCATAACTCGCGGATTTTAAATTTCAGGTGTTCTGTAAAGAAAATTATGAAATTACTCCCCAGGAGAGTTGTCATGCTACGTTATTTTATGAATCGAAAGAAAGGGAATGGGGAATTTTAGGGGGAATGTGGGGATGTGGAACAGCAGCCGATTTCTCGTATTTTGTTGAATGCTGGTTATCTTGGTGGAGAGGGATTTTGGGGGAAAGTGTCGAGAGGATGATTGAGTAATCAATTAAGGTAGCTCTGCCCTTATGGTAAATTCAAAGATTATTGAAAACTGCAAAAAATTGCAGAAAACTCGATTAGATTCGGAGTTCTAATTTTTTTCTCAATTTAATTATCGTTTTGGTTTTTCAAAGAAGAAATGTTTAAAAATCAGGATTTAACCCAGTGTCCTATGTGAAAATCAACATTTCCATTGTAATCAAAGATTATAATCTGATTTTTTTTTCATTGGATGTGAAAAAATCAAGACTTTTTTGACACCTCATAAAAAATAATCCATCGTTTTGCAAACAAGTTTCATTATTTATTTATAAGAGGGAAATATTTGAAAAAATATCAGTATTTTGCGAAATTTAATTTAGATAATACTGACTGGGTGTGAATTTTTCAAATTTTTTCCATGCAATTTACTTTAAAACTTTAAGAACTGAAAATATCCAAAAGTACTCCGTAGCACGGCCGAAGGGTGGAGCTACTTTAAATTAGTAGCGAAGCGCTAAACCGGGTTGTCAATTTTTTTTTTCTTTAAAAATAAGTTTTACTGAAATCGACTCTTGAGGGTCTGATGCATCTGCCGCATTAACGATTTTCGTCTGAAAATATATTTAATGCCTTCTTCGGAAAGAAATGCAACGGGTTGAGTCGCAATTTTGGGAAAAATCTATTTGAGAGGAGCTAAATCGACAAAAACCGAAAAAAATTATTTGAAAATGAGTCAATGGGTATTCTTAACATTCTTCTTAAATTGGAGTAGTTTGAATTAAAGAATTGGATTTCTAGCTTTCCCACTTTACCGACTATAAAATTTTATTATGATTTTGGAATAAAAGAAAATTAATTAAATCCCTCCACCTGATGATTTGTCAATCGACTTTTTTAATTGAGTGGCGGTTTAAGTCGACATAACTCAGTTGAAGGGAAAAATCAAGAGAGCTAAGTCGATTTAACTCTTCGAGTGTGGAAAACAATCCGCGCAAAGTCGATAAAAATTGTTAAAAAATACTCTGGAGAAGTTGCAACTCATGCTAAAATCTCTCTCGATATTGCCCGAAATCCGTGCCTGACCCACTCGACCCAGTTTACCGCTCCTCTACTGAAATATGACACTACCCGTTTCCTCATTCACCACTTCCCCGCCGATTTGTAAAATCGAACCATGTAAATACATTCGAAGCATGTCAATCCAGCAGCCCTCGACACGCACAGATCCTCCAGCACTTCCTGAAATTCGTGTGAACTGGTGAATTGTGTAATATAATTAATAAAGCGTTGATCTTACCAGTAGAAAAGAATCGAGTTAAACTTCGCAAAGTATTACGACTAATAAAAAGACGTTACACCAGACCCCTCGCCTCCAAAGTATTCCTTTATTAATGCCTCTCTTAAAAAACCGTTTAATCTCCATTAATTCCTCACACCTCATCGAAAGTCATCTTGATATTAATATTACACGACACAAGCTGACTGACCAGATACTTGAAAATATACGGAACATCGATCTCCCCGAGAGCCTGATCATCCCTACAAAGACTGCACCGTTTCCTGCTCCCCACCGTCGACTTGCTGCTCCTCACGAGTTCCACCACAGGTCCCACTAGGGTCCCACACCTGCGACATATGATCGCCGACGTTTTATCGGAGCAATGAAACAGTCGATCCTGAAGGAGATAAGCGCACCCATGTGATATCAGCGAGTCCCTCTCCATCTCTCCAAACCTGACGCCACCCCCTCGCCTCCTCCCCTTGATGGGCTGCCTGGTCCTCACATCAATGGCCCCAGTGCTCCTCACCTGCCACTTATCCGAGACCATGTGCCGGAGTCTCTGATAATGCACGACCCCAAAGAATATCTCACAACTCATCTCCCGCCCATCGATCCCATTGTACATCCTCTCAGTCCCATAATAATTGTACCCCCCGAGCTCCAGTAATTTTCCAAAATACTCGACAGCAGTGTCGTCCTCATTGAACCTGAAGGGTGTGGCATCGTGCACCAGTCCATGAACAGCCCCCGACTTCCCCGCCATCACTTCAATCATCATGGCAATGGTCATTCTGCTGGGAAACCCATGAGGATTAAAAACGATATCAGGAATGAGCCCAGACTCCGTGAAGGGCAGATCCTCAGTGGCCCATTTCTGCGAGCATATGCCCTTCTGCCCGGCCCGAGAGGCGAATTTATCCCCCACCTGTGGATTCCTGGGGACTCTGAAGGTGATGCAAGCCCTCCTGGCCCCACGAGTCTGCGTCGTCCCACACAATCGCACATTATCAACGACCACCTCCTCCTTCCCCTTGTACCTCCCAACCACGTGCTTCCCCTGCTGTCCATCGTAGAAGCAGTAGTAGGGATCCCCAGTCTGGAGCCTACACCCAGCATTGGGCAGACCGTCTGCATCGAGCTTCTCGCACAAATTAGCCTGCTCAGGCTGCCTAGCAAAGTAACTAGTGGTATCAGGCAAATTAACAAATTCTGATTTGTAGATCATCCCGTGTGCGAATCCCCGCTCGTAAGCCGACTTATTGATGATCATAGCGTCCTCCATGTCATACCCAGTGTATGAAATAACAGCTACAATGGCATTGGTTCCCATCGCGAAGTCATCGAGATTTATGTTGTCGTGATGAACTGGCCTGAATAATGGGGTCGCAGGTGTCTGGAGCCTGTACAATTTCGTCTCCGCCTGGATGTGCCAGGTGTGGCATGGGGTTCCCATCGTCTGCTTGCCCATCTGACACTGGTACATATTCCTCGGACTCTGATTGCAATCTGGCATGGGTATGAGACACGCCAAATTACTCATGAATGCAGTTTTCCCAGGCTCCTGATGTGTCGTAAGTGGATTCTGCTCTTCGGGTACAGTGCAGATCTCCAGATAGACCTGCTCGAAGGTCCCAATGAGCTCGACTTTGTTGGCCGCCAGATTGATCACTGGTCTCATCATCCTCGCTGGCCCAGTGAATACGAAGAGCCCTGGGTACTGGGAGGGCACGTTGCCCTTGGGTACGAGGACAATCTCCATGGTATTGGGCACCTTCTCCCCATCAATCTTCAGGAGTCTGAGTTTATCCACCACCTTCGTGACAATAGCATCCTCGATTAGGCCTACTACATTCCCATCCACCAATACAGTGTAGGAATTGGTGAAGTCATCAGCGATTGACAGGGGAGTCATCCCCAAATCCAGTAGAACAGTGGGAATGCCAGCCCTCAGTGCCTCCTCCGGGTGCTTGGTAACCACACAGTTCATCGTCAAGTGATTGAGGAGACCGCAGGGGGAGCCGTCAGGCGTGTGAACAGGACAGATGAAGCCCCAGGCGTCAGGCAGCAGTTGCCTGGCCTCAGTGGTCCTCATCTCCTGGAAAAACGAGCCCCTGTGAATGGCCCTGAAGTGGCTCATATACCTCATCCTGTTGATGTTCTCAGCGACAATAGTCAGCCCCGAGTGCTGCATCAATCCAAGCCCAGTCTGCGATTTGATGTTCCCAGTCGACAAAAAATTCTCCATCGAGCTCTCAATAGTCCCCGTGTACTTCATGGCTGTCAGCATCTCCTGGGGAGTGATGTAAAAATTATTGCCCACTGTCTTAGCTCTTTTGAGAATTGACATTCTCAGGATACTCAGCCACGTCTGCAACTTCTCCTTGAGGACCTGGAGGTACAAGTGGCCCCCTAGAAGGCACTCCTGCATCATGACAGCGTCAGCCCCCTCAACAGCGCATTTATCGTTGGCCAGGGAGAACAATTTTTTCGTCATGTAAATCAGCAGATTGAATTTGTCCCTGGGATCGTCCAGGTGTATCACCACACACCTCTGGATGATGAAGTCGCAGACCCCAGTGTCAGAGGTGTCCGCTGGCACCTCCAGGAGTCTCACCCTGAACATCTTCCCAATGTAACGTTTGCACTGGTCGTGCGAGTGGAGATTCTCTCCATGAACTGCCCTCAGCATATTCAAGATACATCCTTTGTAATATAAATTGTCTTCGCAGCCTGCGATGAGTGCATCGTAGATGAATTTATCAGACACATCGATCAGAGACTTGAGCATGAGGATGATGGGAACGTAGTAGAGGATTTTCTTGTGTGTGAACATGAGCTTGGCTGTGCCGTCGGTGACGTAGTGGAGAGTGTTGTTGGTGGCTGTGTTGTCGTCTCGTACACTCCTCAGGAGGAGGCCGAGGTCGCTGAAGAGAGCTCCCCTCCCCTTCCAGCCGGATCTCCTGATGGCAATGGGGTAGTTTCGCCGAGTCATCAGGAGCATTCTTATGAGCCTCTCGTGGCCCTTGATGATGAAGTAGCCACCCCACTCCTGCTCATGCTCACCCCTCGACACTAGCTGCGCAGGGGTGAGGTTTTTCAAGTGACAGCGACGAGATCTCACCATTACTGGAATGTCTCCGAGCTCTTTGTCGAGGCTCTCTTGTTGTCTGCCGTTTACCGACCATCCCAGTTTGATCATCAGTTTACCTAGAACGCAGAATTTATTTTCGAGTCAGATTAAGTCAGATTAAGGGCCTTGGAGACATGATTTTTTTTTAATACTAGGGGGGTACGCCCCCTGCTCGCTCCGCTCGCCACTTCCTCATAGGAACCAGATATGACCGCCATAATCCTTATTCTGGCCCTTGCGACCCTTTCTCCAACCCTCATGACCCTTTCTCTGACCATCATGACCTTTCCTATGGCCCTTGCGACCCTTTCGCTGACTATCATGACCCTTGTGGTCCTTTATCGAATCCTCATGAACCTCACTCTGGCCCTTGCGACCCTTTCTGATCCTCGCAACCCTTACACTGAACCTCGTGACCCTTTCTCTGACCATCATGACCTTTCCTATGGCCCTTGCGACCCTTTCGCTGACTATCATGACCCTTGTGGTCCTTTATCGAATCCTCATGAACCTCACTCTGGCCCTTGCGACCCTTTCTGATCCTCGCAACCCTTACACTGAACCTCGTGACCCTTTCTCTGACCATCATGACCTTTCCTATGGCCCTTGCGACCCTTTCGCTGACTATCATGACCCTTGTGGTCCTTTATCGAATCCTCATGAACCTCACTCTGGCCCTTGCGACCCTTTCTGATCCTCGCAACCCTTACACTGAACCTCGTGACCCTTTCTCTGACCATCATGACCCTTGTAGNAGTGACAGCGACGAGATCTCACCATTACTGGAATGTCTCCGAGCTCTTTGTCGAGGCTCTCTTGTTGTCTGCCGTTTACCGACCATCCCAGTTTGATCATCAGTTTACCTAGAACGCAGAATTTATTTTCGAGTCAGATTAAGTCAGATTAAGGGCCTTGGAGACATGATTTTTTTTTAATACTAGGGGGGTACGCCCCCTGCTCGCTCCGCTCGCCACTTCCTCATAGGAACCAGATATGACCGCCATAATCCTTATTCTGGCCCTTGCGACCCTTTCTCCAACCCTCATGACCCTTTCTCTGACCATCATGACCTTTCCTATGGCCCTTGCGACCCTTTCGCTGACCATCATGACGCTTGTGGCCCTTTATCGAACCCTCGTGAACCTCACTCTGGCTCTTGCGACCCTTTCTGATCCTCGCAACCCTTACACTGAACCTCGTGACCCTTTCTCTGACCATCATGACCCTTGTAGCCCTTTTTCTAACCATCATGACTTAATCTGGCCCTTGCGACCCTTTCTCTGACCCTCATGACCCTTGCAACCCTTACTTTCACCAACATGCCCCTTGTTGCCCTTTCTCTAACCCTCATGACCCTTACTCTGGCCCTTGCGACCCTTTCTCTGACCCTCGCAACCCTTACACTGAACCTCGCGACCCTTTCTCTGACCACCATGACCCTTGTAGCCCTTTCTCTAAACCTCATGATCCTTTCTCTGACCCTCATGACCCTTACTCTGGGCCTTGAGACCCTTTCTCTGACCCTCACTCTGGCCCTTGCGGCCCTTTCTCTGACCCTCATGACCCTTACTCTGGCCCTTGCGACCCTTTCTCTGACCCTCATGACCCTTACTCTGGGCCTTGAGACCCTTTCTCTGACCCTCACTCTGGCCCTTGCGACCCTTTCTCTGACCCTCACTCTGGCCCTTGCGACCCTTTCTCTGACCCTCATGACCCTTACTCTCGCCCTTCCGACCCTTTCTCTGATCCTCTTGACCCCCTGACCTTTATTTAGACCCTCAATTTTGGAGTCTCAATCTCAGCTACCAAATTTCCATCACCAGAAGTCAATTTCAACTTTCACAATATAAAAAAACAAACCAAATATCTTACCCTTGTATGTGGCTCCTCTCTGTCTGCATTCTGTGGGAAATATCCTGTGACTCTTGGCACCTACTGTCGCTGTGGGAATTGCCGGCTGATATATCGTCGCATCCTCGATCCACAGCAACACTTTGTCGTTGTTCGCGAGGAGGATGTGCACAGGAACAATGTCCTTTAAGCAGTCTGTGAGACCTTGCTCCAACATGTAGTTGAAGGAGTCCAGGTGAGGCTCTCCCAGGCGTCCGAGCAGCTGAAATCGTAAAGGAGAGGATGATGAATGGAAACCTGGAGTTGGGGAAGAGGTTAAATCAAGATTTTTCGACGAGCCGAGGAAAATATCGAGGAATGCAGGCACTCACTGGGTTCTGACGCTCTGGGGGCTTTCCATAGTCCGGAGAGAGGTTCGACAGCACCGGTTCAATCAACATTTTACGGTTTTCGTCAGAGAAATGAGGTTTCAATCACTCCACGATGAAAGCACGTGGAGCACTGACCAGCAGACCATGTGTGGCCCCCTCGCCTCCCTCGGCTGACAATTCGCTCAGGGACGTGACCGTCAGGCCTCAGCAGCACCAGCGGCGCAAGCAGGAGTTAGTGCCCCGGCCTGAGTTCGACTGACGATCGATAAAACAGTATTCTTCACACTCGTGCCCATGTGCACGCGCCACAGCTTTGGCGAAGTCTTTTTGTATTAATTATTCTACTTACCTTAAGTGGCCGTGTGACTTCGACAGCGGTTACCGACCGAGTGAAAAATTTCAAACCTATTTTTTCTTAGGGTGAAAAGATTATTTTGGAAAATACGAATTTCTACACCCTGTATAACATTGTTATAAACGGCGTAAGAATTTGATTTTTTGATAATTATCGTTTCACCCTAAGAAAAAATTGGTTTGAAATTTTTCACTCGGTCGGTAACCGCTGTCGAAGTCACATGGCCACTTAAGGTCTCTCCTCAGTAGGGGCAAAACGGGGATAGGCGCGCGGGTGAGGGGAGCGTAAAATGGTTAAGTTAGTGAGGTTATTTTCGAGAGAGACGAAACGTCAAACATGGCGTGCGTTGGATAGTGACAGACATCACGCCAATTATTTTTATCGTTAATTTATTCAACAAATTACTGGCAAAACTCGATGAGACTTTATTGCCTTATTTTTGAGAGTTTAATATAAATAAATATAGCTTCCTTTGTTGGCTAGCACATTGTCAACAGGGTGAGGGGTAAGGGACTAAATTTCGTTCTTAAAGCCCATGGATAAGCAGAAATTTGAATGATTAATTGAAAACGAATGAAACGATAAAACTACTCAGAGTTTTTTTTACAATTTTCCTTTTACCATTTTTGATTATTATATTACATATTCAATTCACTAGCACATTGTCGTTTTGTGGCGAAAATTACTGAGGAGACCCCTTAAGTGTGTTAATTGGGACCGCTATTTACCGATGGCTGCGCTCGTGATGCCCTGACAAGATGGTGGATTACAAGTTTTCTCATTCAAACTTGAGCGGTCGCTAGAGCCGGCCCAACAACTATCAGTGCTAACAGTTATTTTCAGTTGCTTTCCGCACATTTTTTGGCATTATTAATTGCATAATAAATATTATCACAATGCTTACGTTAATATTGGAGGAAATTTTTAAGTTCGTAAAAAATAACGAGAAGTCGAGAAATATCAAAGGTCAGAGAATATGAACCTCAAAAAAATTTGATTCGTTGCGGCATAACATCAACAAGTCTAAATCAGGTTCACAGTAACGCATTATGTACGAAAACAAGTGTTTTATCAAATTAATTTTCAATAAACTTTTGGAGCAGGTGTTTACGGTTTTCAAGTCATCGCGCAGCCAGAACCTTCAAATCCGCCATGTTTTTTAGTTACGCAGGGGCTCACGAGGTCTCGCATTTTTACGTAGCGTCCCCAATAAAATATTCAGTTGACAGTATCCCGGAATCTTTATTCCACGGAAATACCCTCACATTTCCTACAGTTGTCCGGGGTGTGGCGCCATCTGGAGGATTGTGGGGAGACTGTGGAGAATGGCTCTACGCACTCTTGGAATCACAACATCAATCAACCGGCAGTTACTCCGGGCAGGTATTTTTAACCTATTATGCTGTTTTTTATCCTTGGAGTTCATTTTTTATCTTTTTAATCGCCTCTCGAGGACCTTTCCAGCATTATTTAACGCGAGAAAGCCAATGCTAATTTTTTATTCTCGGGGCAAGGCGTGATGGCAGTTGTGTAATGGATTATGACTATTTTTTGGATTTTTTAAATTTTAATTCAGTAGGGGAATTCGAAGGGGACAAAGGGTACAGGTGAACAGAAACAGTTGATCTGTCTTCCTCCCCAGTACAAACACCGATGTCAGATGGTAAAAAACGTCTGAATCTTCAAGTGCCTGAAAATCTGACTAATGTCTGAAAATTTCTCCCACCGTTTCTGTCTGAAAATGATTGCAGACATTTTTTTTGTCTGAAAAAATTCAGGTTTTATTTCAGATATTTTCTGTGTCTGAAATTCAGTTATTTATGAGCGATTCAAACATTTCACTACCAAGATATCTCACCTGATTCAGACGGCAAAGTCCATTCAAACGTTAATTTTTAAGATATTTCTCATGTCTGAAAAGTAGACTCATACAAGTCAATTTTGACTCCTGACCAGTTTTGAATGAATATCTCGGAATCTAAGGGAGATGGCGAAATTTTTGTTATAACCTTTTTTGTAGATCCGATCGAGAGCCACAACAAATGTAATCACGAAAATTTCGATATCTCCCTTAGATTCGGAGATATTCCTAAAAAACTCAACTGGGAGATGAGTCGATTTGAATCGTTTTACCACTTCGCTAATGAATTGATGATCCTGATGATCAATTGTTATGTTTCAGACAAATTTCGCAGTTTATCGAGAATGTCTCAACCCCTGGATCAAATACCCGACGTTGACATTGACCCGAATGGGGTATTCAAGTACATCTTGGTGCATGTTCACGATGATAATAATAAACAGAGTAAACCAATTGTCCGGGGCTACGCCAGATGCCAGTGGCACGGTATGTATATATCAGTCCCTCCTCTGCGCACCCAATTCTCGATATTTGTTATCAAGCCGAGGGGGGGGGGAGGGGAGGGGGAAATCAGTGAGAGGTTCATCAAACGTTGTTTCAGGGCATAATTGGCTCATTCGAATAGTTCAACTTCATTTTTCATTCTTCTTTAATTGATATTTACAATATTATATTCACATAGATGCATTATTTTGATTGGGGGAAGGTGGGGCAAAACAGGCACTATTTACTTTGCTTTCAGTGCTCGTAATTCAGAAATAAGTTGATCAATTGAGGTAAAGTTCAGTAAAACTCAGTTGATTCAATTTTTTTAGCTGAACGAATTATTGAGATTTAAAGAAAAGTCATGACTCCCCATTTTGCCCCACTCGTTCCCCAACCGTTCGTCAAATTTGTACAGAAATTGAACAATCACTTATCGTAGAATAACCAGCACTGGGAGAAGCTTTCGGCGAAAGAAAGTGTCACAATGAGATATTTAATTTTCCCGAATAAATGCAATTGACGCAAATGAGGAAATCCACATTTTCGTTTCTCTCAATTTAAGTCTCTGATATGGAAATAAAAGCCTTGAACTGATGGAAAGAGGAGTCTCCCTCCATCAGTTCAAATGCACTACGAGGCTCTACAAAAGCAGCAACAAGCCCTTTGCAAGCTGAAACCTGATTGGCAGCCCATGTTATCTGAATTCTTGAGACTTATTACTCGATCTCTACATCTCTCCTCATGCACTTGTTCACAGTGCGAGCCACCCTGGCCTCAGCTCTCTTCGGTATCGACGTTTTTTATGAGTTCCAAGTCGTGCGTTGAATCACGTTTTTTAATTTCCTCCACTTTGTGTTGTGTTTTGTCGTCTTTTTTCTCCTGCATCGGCGTTTGCACTGGAATTTCCCCCACAGCTGTGGCAAATCCCATTAAATCAGACTCAGGACTCTTGTGTATCAGTGTGAATGGTAATTTAACTGAGATTTTCTCGCACATAAGAGACGTGAGGAGTTTCACCTTAAATAATAATCAGAGGGAGTAGAGGGGGCGTTGGTTCATCTACTGCACAAGGTACATTTTTCACATTGCCAAGCATACCTGCACGTAATAGGATACGTTGATGGCGTAATAGGGGCTTCTGTCCTTTTCACTGACCTCCGAGGATATCACAGTGGATGCCAGAATGGGACCGGCTCTCGTATAATTCTCCTCCAGAGCAATCCAGTGTTTTGGAGAGCCTTCTGTTGGACGCAGACAGTACGTCTTAGTGAGAGTTGATCCTGACACGAGGGGACAATTGTCCTGGTCCAACTCGGAGGCCACGGTATTCTTGAAAATGCCATTGTTGAACATGCAAACCTCCACGTGCTGAAGCGCCATTACCTTCAATCATAACAGAATCGGTGATGTTTAGATTGTCTGAATTATAACGAGTCCTCGATACTGGGTAATAATGGAGGCGACCGTTTGTTTACCTCGATTCTTCTGACAGACCTGTGACTATCGTTAGCGATATAGACATGAACGGATATTGAATCCCCATGGGCATAAATGGCGCGATCCAATCGCGCCTCTAGTCTGATTGAACCTTCAGTCAACAGCAGACGCCTTTTCACAGCTGCGGTGGGAACTGCTGGCTCTGAAAATTGCAAAACTTTTTACTGTCGTTAATAAAATTCAGTCTTATCAGTATGGTTGGTTATATGGAGCATTATTCTAGAATATCTAATTTACTTTTTCCTTTGACTGTGTCTAAAATACTTGATTTATCAAAATTAGACTTGTGTTTTTCTTGTGTTCTTTAAGTCTGTCCTGAAAAAATGTAGATCTTATCATAATCATTGCACGGCATCTTATAAACAACATCAGACAGTGATGCCGCGAGACGAGATGAGACACTGCGTCTTCTCGTCTTGTCTCATCTCGTCTCGCCTTGTCTCGTCTCTATAATCCAATTTGCACGGAAAAAAATACACTGAGGGGGAGAGCGGGGGAGGCTCTCTCGACTCTCGTCTCGTCTCGTTTCTGTCATTGTCTCGAAGGACTCTTGTCACGTCTCGTTTGTCTCTTTATGTCTCTCGTCTCGATTGTCTCTTTATGTCTCTCGTCTCGATTGTCTCGTCATGTCTCGTCTCGTTTGTCTCGTCATGTCTCGTCTCTCGTCTCGTTTGTCTCGTCTCTCGTCTCATTTGTCTCGTCTCGTCTCGCCATGTCTCTCATGTCGTCTCGTTTCTCTCGCGTCTCACGGCATCACCAACACCACAAAAGAAAAACCCAAGTTTAATTTCGCTAAATCAAGAATAAAAAAATAAAATTCATCATTTTTCTTCAACATATCGTCATCATCTTTCTTCTCTCATATCACGACATGTTGAGACGAATGAGTTCTCACCCTCCAATGCACGTGATGAGAGAGTCGATTCCGCCATACGCGTCGTACTTTCGCAGAGCTTACTAATGGGTCGAGGGGTCGGAAGACCCCGCTGTATCACAGTTATACCCATTCGTACAGTGGAACTGTCGTCATGCCTCTGATCTGCACGTTCAGCTGAACAACAAAGTCTCATCATTACTTTTTCTTACGGCACTCGTTGTATTCCAGTTTCGCATTGCCACGGAATTTCCCTCAAGTGAGCGCACGAGATCGATAAAATCTTCCCTACGAAATATGAAGCTACTTTTTCGCTTGGGGAATGTCACTATATACATTCAAATCTCCTCTGCATCATGCATCATCCCCACCTGTGTCTATATTCCTCCAGCTTATCACGGTAAAGAGAATGTATATCAACGTTTATTTATTCAGAGCTCTTGAAATTGAGTCAGATGGAAATTTACGGACGAAATGTCTCGTAAATGATTCTGCATTCACCCGAAATCCATTTTCCCCTTGTTTACTCTGCTCTATTTTCCCATTTTTTTTGTTATCGCACCGAAATTGCTTTATGAATCGATCTCGTCCTGGCGGAAGTCAAAATGGGGAAAACCTTTTTGGTGATAATACAATGAAGGGGTCTAACGATATTAACGGCCAATGGAGTTATTTTATGGAGAATGGAATAAAGTAGTAGTTAATCAACTGACCAACCCAGGCTTTGAATTCGTAGCTCGTACCAAGTGGTGCCCCGTTGTATTTTTGAGGGGGACGTAGGCGAATGGATGGCGGTGCGACTGCTGGCACTTCCACTGAAAATGGATAGGCATTGGGCCCTCGACTCCTGATGAGCGCTTCCTGCAAAACATAACGACACAGCGAAGGGTGTAGATGAGTCGGTCTGTGCTTTTTTTTTCACTCTGAATGCTCCAGCTTTCATATAAAATTCCCTCTAGGTATTCTGTCGGGCTGTGTCCCTCAGTGTTTTGTTACCATTGTCACAAACTCAACAGCTATCTCTCAAAAGTTGCCCTGAGAGTCAACGTGGGCTTTCTCCTCAGGGACGGGGGTAGATAGCTATCGTGAGAGAGTGTTATTTTTGGGGAAAAAGGGGTGGTATCGCGACAGCTGAATTGGTCAACATTATTGGTGAGGGTTTAAGGGGTCTCGGGGTGTAAATATTTTTTATCGAAAACATTTCATCTCATTCTCGAGACTTTCACGTGAATGATATTCGTTTTATTCAGTGATGCCGCGAGACTGGACGAGACAAGAAGATGCTGTTTTTCGTCTTGTCTCGTTGCTTAGAAACCATTGTCTCGTCTCGTGACGAAATACGAGAGCAATTTGTTGTTGCGTCTCGTCGAGAATTGAGACATTCTCTCGTTCTCGACCAGCTTGTCTCGTCTTGTCTCGTTTCTGTCATTGTCTCGAATGACTCTTCTCGTCTCGTTTCGTTTCTGCCATTGTCTCAAATGACTCTTCTCGTCTCGTCTCGTAATGTTTCTTGTCTCGTTTGTCTCGTCTCGTTCGTCTCGCGTCTCGTGGCATCACTAATTGAGAGATTCTCTAGTCTCGTCTCGCTTTATCTGGTCTCTATAATCCAATTTGCACGGAAAAAAAATGAACAGAGAGGCAGAGAGAGGGAGACTCGACTCTCGTCTCGCCTCTCGTTTTTCTCGTTCTCGACCGGCTTTTCTCATCTCGTCTCGTTTCTGTCATTCTCGAACGACTCTCCTTATCTCGTCTCGTTTCTGTCATTGTCTCGAACGACTCGTCTCGTCATGTTTCTCGTCTCGTCTCGTAATGTCTCTTGTCTCGTTCGTCTCGCGGCATCACCAATTTTTTTTTTTTGTGAATGCGAACCCTTCGTTCCTCCAGCGAATCAAAAGCAAAAAAAATTCATTCGATATTGCATGCATTCATTCATTCATACAGCAAAATGTCACAGGAAATGATAAAGAGGAATTTTTTATTTGTCGTGACGTATCATTTCTTGGAAGGAGGAGTATCTAACACTGCGACAGCTTGATTGATCCACATTGGTATGGGTGAGGGTTCACAATGGTCCCAACCCCAGAACATTTTATCGATAAAATTACAATTCATCCCCCAAACGTGGGTGGGAGAGGGCATTTCACTCTGTTATTTCTTTTTAACGATGCTTTCAATTTTTCCTCCACTCGTTTTCAGGCGACTCTCCAGATTTCTTAATGCGATGACCCTTACTCGTCACGTAAACGTATTTATTCAGCACTCTACTTAGTGTGTGAACCCGGGGGAGAGAACAATTTTATTCGTTGTTTCACATTGTAAGGGCCCTCGTGAAGGTATCTTTTACCTTTGGGTGGATCAATACCTTGTCCTTTAAATTCTCACTGCGCATAGAACTTTATCCCGCGGCTATTGTTTGGAATCAAACTTTTGGATGAGTGAGCAAATTTTTTTTCCCCCTGGATGAGAAAAAATAAAGAGTGGTGGAGCGATTGGAGTGAAGGAGGGAGATGAAAATTGTGAGAATTAATACTTGGAATGTCTGGTGGAGTAATATTAAAAGCTCCACTCGTGGGTGTTGGAGAATCATCTCTCTGAGAGGAAATTGCACAATTATACAGTAACATTTGCCCATTCCCTTGCGTATCTACGTCTCGGTTCAATCAGGTCATTTGATCCTGCCACTCGACTCGCAAGTTAATCGAAAAGTTTGTCAGAGGGGACGAGAGAATACATCTCGATTTGATTACACCTCAGTATAACCAGTGGTTTTGTGGCGCTATTAATGAGATTACAAGACTCCAGGTGTTTTTTTTTTCTTATCCTCGTCTCTCAGCGAGTAGAGAATAATCCAGGAAGTGGAATTGTTTCATATTTCAAGTGGATAGTACCGTTGGGAATCTTTAGTAATAATTTTCAAGGTAAGGTGGCACAGTAGACCAGAGAATTTATCAAAACTTTGTGGTTGAAACGGGGGCCTGTGGACTCTCAAACTTCCGAATGCCGGGTATTTCGCGGTGCGCAAATTCCGGGAGTTTTGTTGTTTTGCATAGGGAACTGGCATGTTTTTTTTTTTCAATTTTTTCCTCAAATAGATGCTCCCAAGAACTCATATTTGATAAGGAAACACACGGAAAATAGTTGAATAATTATTTATTTGCTTTTAAAAATTGCATTTTTTAAAACATTCTAAAAAGGCCTGTGACGTCTATTCACCGGAGGCCGAAATTTTCGTGTGGCGTCGTCAAGCGGTTCAGTACAGCTGCTGAAATCTAGGAAAATACTCTGTACATGTACTAGGCTCGAAAGTGTCAGAAAAACCGGATCGAGTGATGAAAGCTCCTTATAAATATTGTTTTGTACCAGGATGTAAAAATACAACAGTGAAAATTATACAACCACGACTTTCGACACTTTGACACAGATTTAAACCCATAAAATCTATCAACATAGTCACGTCTACCGTTGGTAAATTCCCCGGGCACGCCTTTTGAAAATCATTTTTCAGCACAAACTTCATTTGTTAGTGCCAATATATTTTTTTTATCCACTTTTAATAATTGTTTCAAACATAACTCCCTCGATTTGTTTTGGTTGAACGTCTCGCACTTTGAGAGGCTAGAATAACTCAATAGCGCTGCTAGTAGTCGCAAGGGGAACTTGATTCCGGTGAGTTGACGTCACGACCCCAAAAAAAGTGTTCAAAATTGGTGCATTTTTAATCAGTTATTACAAAATATCCAGACCACCTTTCGGAAAACTTTTTACTCTGGAATGGTTCGTAGACTACGAAGACTATTCATTTAAAAATATTCGAAAAGTGGACTCTATGCGAGTTCCCTATTGCAGGGGCCAAAAGAGTTCAAGGACACTCGACGAAAGAGAGAGGAGAGCGTAGGACTCAGGGAGGGCTGGAAAAGGCTGTTTATGCGTTATATCGAAGGTGGATTACATTGTGTAAAACTCAAATGGGTACATAAAGTGGGGTAGCGTTTTAGAGATAGCTTCGTAAGCAGTAAATTCATGAGACGGCTTTAACCAGTCAACTGTCCTCGAGGCACAAATTTTTGCGGATCGACGTGATAAATTTTTAAAATAACATTTCCAACGTGAGCCTGACCCTGACTCGATGCCGTTATCCTTGACTGCTTTATCTATCCGATAACCCGATGGCTGTTTAATCGAGTTTTAATGCTCCTGATTTCGATACTAGGTGTATTTGCCTCTTATTCAACTTCTTTGAACTGGAAATTGGACACTTGTGGATCTCACTGTATGCAAGCGAGTAAAATTGGTAGTGCAGCAGTCGAGCCTGGGTCACGTTCGAGGCCAAGGTCAGGTCTCGATGCTCTGACGTCACCGGTCTTCATTTCTCGACGGGGGGAGGGTTGAGAAAAATAAATGTAAAAAAGGAACTTCGATAGCCAGGATTGTCGATGAATTGTTTGTGCATTAAATGCGCATCCATTGGTTCTGGGTTGACTTCAGTGTCAAGTTAATTGAAGAGTGGGCTTGAGTTTTTTTTTCAGTCTGAATTTCAGACGAACCGGCGCCTAAACATCTTAATTTGTCTTTGAAATTCAGATAAATTTTCATTTTATTCAGACGTTTTTTAGTGCCTGAAAAATGTCTACTAAAGGTGTGTGAAATTCAGACATTGTTGAGTAATATTGTTGGGTAATATTATCAGTCAACACAAGCAAAATCGTGATTGTGTTTTAGTTAAGGCGTTTCTCCTGAAAAGTCAAAATAATGAAAAAAAACTAGGAAAATTCACGAGAGAACATCCTGAGTGTGCTGCATCATTAAGAATTCTTGCACATTTTTTTCAGATCTCAGTCTCAAGAAAAAAAATAATGAAATTTGGATGTTTTTGTAAGCCCTCCAGTTATAACCTTCGAGGTTACCCCACTCTCAATTAGGGAAATTTCCATGGCACCCAAAAAAATAGTGAACTATTGAGGAAAAACTAGTGGCTGATAAATCAAATCTTTCTTGAGAACACGTATAAGTTTCAGATTTTGTTTCCGATTTCATAAGAAAGTTATTTGAACAAATGATTCGGAAAATTATGAGTTTCGGGGCAATTACGCCCTCACGCGCAGGCGCGTGATTCGAATGTCAGTGAGCATCATGGGAAAGCTATGGGTTGGACCATGGAACTGAGAGAGAGAAAACACTCGACAGGTTTACCAACTCGAGACGCATTTTAATATTATTTCAATAATAAGAATAACATCCAATAAAAATTATTTGACACCCGTAGGTGATGAGAAAAGAATCAATCAATCAGATAAATAAAATCAATATTCAAAAAATGTTCAAATGCCCACTTAAACAGTTACTTGAAAATTGGAAAATTTCGTGCTCAGCGATTGAATCAGGGCTCGAGAACAACGAGACTCCCCTTCCGTATCACCGCCCGGTGTCAACCGACCTACGAATATTGAAATCCATTTGTCGACGGAATGTAATAACTCATTTCATGAGTGACTATGGAAGGTGAATGGGTTGAAAGAGCCAAGACTATCAATACTATCTCTGTTTACCACTGGAGTATTCAACCACAGACGTTTTATCAACGCCGGATGAGCACTGAGTGCTGTCGAACGATTGACAATCCGATTAAGAGGAATGTGAGTGTCAGAGGGACATATAACCTGCAGTTACTGCAGTTAATAACAGTTTCGTCAGCATTAACAGGCTCTGCAACTACAGCTACACCGCTAATTGCTCATGCAATATCCTGAGTGCAACGTTAATTTCAAGTATTTGCGATTATTAGAGTACCTGGACTGGTGTCATAGCTTCAGGCTGATCGTCATGGGAATACGGTGGATACAGTTGAGTGAAGCAAAACGGTATTTCGTTGCAAAATTTAACCCCCATTACCTCCTCCTCCTCCCGGCTCAGGCGAGCAGTCAAAGTTATTTGTGCGTACACCTGTAAAGAGGAATATCCAATGTTTAATCAATTTTCCCATGTCCGGCAATTGGAGAATGGGGAAAATACAACTTGCCCTCTTGTCGCGAACATAATCAGGCTCGACGACTATCACACCCAGCAGTTTATCGATTTTACCTCCAGTAACGACTAAATCCCGATTGATGATGTAGAGACGGAGCTTGTTGTTTGGAAGATATCTCTTGAAGACTCTGGACAAATGACGAGATGAGAAATAAAACAAGCAGCGTGACAGAAACCATTTGACAGATTACATATTACTGCTACGTATTTTTTTTTCTCTCCTATTTTCATTTCTACCAATTTCACTGGTCGTAGGCTTTCGAATGGATCTCAATCTATCTTTTTAAAAAATTAACATAAGGATTACCATCAATTCCCTCAATTTTCCTGGACACTTCTTGACTTTCCGAGAAATTTCTATCACTTTCGTGAGTGACAATCGAGGGGCTATTCACAATGTAATCGATTACCCAGGATTACAGGACTGATTACACTGATTACCATTGCCTAGGTGATAACCGTGATTACCAAGAGCACAGAATGTGATTACATGATTACAAATGATTTCGTCGATTACATTATGTGATTACCAAACATCTGTAATCATTGAAATCACAAAAAATGGCCTCTTATTAAATATGAATTGATGGAATAATTAATTATTAGAATCTGCAGAGAAATGAGGAAGGAGGGGCGGGGATTAGAACAGAGGAATGCAGTCTCCATCACTCCATCTAAAAATTTGGGCATTTATCAGTGCTATCATCTAAATAAATTTACTGAATGTCTACCATTGATGGAGAATGAAACTTACCAGCAGATAATTCAGAGATAATTCAGTCGTTGGTTCTCCAGAATAAGAAGAAATTTTAACTCTGTTGAATCAATTTTCTACGGACAAATGCTCCGTGCAAAACGCATTGGCTATGCAAGCTTCTGAACCATAAACATCTGGGATTCCCAGAAAAATTGATCCAGGGATCTCTGAGACTTACCGTTGGTAGAAATGACGCGCTCGAAAATTCAAAAACAAAAATTCACGGTCTCACTAGGAGCAACTACGAAAGATTACACTGATTACAAGTGATTACAGTGATTACAAATGATTACCACTTGATTACCAAAACTTGATTACAAATATGGTAATCATGGGATTACAATGATTACATTGATTTCGAGTGCCGCCACGATTACGTCTGTGAACAGGCCCTCGGCATTTCCACCGAAAATTAGGAAATGGAAAAAAATCATGATTACAAAGCTTCCATTCGGAGGCCAAAGGTCAAATGGCTGGGTGACCACTCGACGCTCTACCCTGGGAGCTCCATTACTTCGAGATATATCCCCTTCAGCCTACAGTGTATACCGTACACTCGAAACAATGCAATATTTATTCACTGGGAAATGTGAATCCAATAAATGTCTCAAGGTTGTTTCAGAGTGTCCCCTATCCATGTTGAATACAATAAGAACTGGGTCTGGAAATATTTCCCCCGAGAATTCGAATTCAATGCATTCGTCGTTATTTCTATCGCCGAGGGAAGTAATTGCTTATGTTGGAAGTACAAATATTGAATGGCCGAGTGATTTCAGAGGCTCGTCCCATGGGCGCTCGGGGAACTCATCTCGTCTAAGTTGTCGGTGGGCGAGACAATTATTTCATGCTGATTTGTATCGCTCACGTAGCCGTATGAGAACCCCAATCCTGCGTTTAACTCAGGGACAACTTTGCCTCCGAACGCTTGTACTTTGGCCTCCCCGCCCTCCGTTCTCCTGCTATTGAGGCCTTGGCTTGTATTAATTAATTAAGTCAGGTTGATAAACCGACGGAGCTTGCATGCTATATTCGGGCGTGGATCCATGGAATTCGTCGGGGGGTTGAAAGCCACTTCGGTGATATTGAATATATAGACGGAGACATTGGCCCCAAACCCGTATCAGTAGCGAAGTGGCAAAGCGGGTCAAGTCAATTTTTTTCGAAAATAAGGTTTTCAGTAAAATCGACTCTTAAGGGTGTGATGCATCTGCTGCATCAACGATTTTAGCCTCAAAATATATTATTCAGGCTTGTGTTTATTTTGACCGTTACACAGTAATAGAATATCAACCTTTTTTTAATTAAATCCGACTCCCACTTTTTATTGAATTTTCCTTCGCTCGCGGATTACCTTTCGAACCGTAACTTTTACGTTTTCTTTTCTGGTAATTTCTATTGAATTTCTCTCTCCGTGTGTTGGGGAGAGGTTATTAATTCTGAAATTCTGGGGAAAAAAACCCGGCTCGTTTACGAGACTAATCGATCAGCGGGATTAAGTAAACTGATACCCAGAGGCTTTCATGCAGCCGATGGCTCTCGGTGAATATTGTTCAGGATTCAGCGTATCCATCATCCCTGTTTACGCTGGTCTTCAGCACGCATGTTTCATAATTCCCAACGAGTTTCAATGAGTCCACCCTAAATCGCGCGTTTGTTGGTCCAATGGACGTTTTGAATCTCTAGTTTCACGTGCGCTCGGGGAAAAAATCCATCTCTGGGAACGCGCGAATGGACACCGCAATTTTGTTTTTTTTTCTCCGATGGATAGGGCAAAGATCCAAATCAATCGATTCACATTCTAAGAGGATTAGAATTCGAAGAGAATTAGAATTTAGAGAGAAAAAATTTCCGCTTTACCCAGCCGGGAATCGAATCCGGGTCTCCCAGATACGCGCCGGGCACTCTTACCGACTAAGCTACCGGGAACCACAGAAATTCACTCTCAAATTCACCTCAAACACCGTCTAACCTCCTTTAGGCATTAAAGAATTCGAAGAGAATTAGAATTTAGAGAGAAAAAATTTCCGCTTCACCCAGCCGGGAATCGAACCCGGGTCTCCCAGATACGCGCCGGGCACTCTTACCGACTAAGCTACCGGGAACCACAGAAATTCACTCTCAAATTCACCTCAAACACCGCCTAACCTCCTTTAGGCATTAAAGAATTCGAAGAGAATTAGAATTTAGAGAGAAAAAATTTCCGCTTTACCCAGCCGGGAATCGAACCCGGGTCTCCCAGATACGCGCCGGGCACTCTTACCGACTAAGCTACCGGGAACAAGGATTGATCAAGGATTGATCAATCTAGATCAATAAAGATTGGGTTACCTGTCTGTGTGCGTGGTCGGCTGCGATTGGGCCATCTGCTCTCGGCATGCAGCGTCCCGATCGTCACGTGTGCTGTCCTCCTTGATGCACGTTATATCAGCATCTCCTTTATCATGGGTCCCCATTGTGACGAGTGCTTTCAGATTGGCGATCACCACACTGAGAGAAAAACAAACACGTTGTCAAACGAGTTTTGTCTGAGCCAACAAAATCGCTAGTTGAAAATTGCCAAAAAAGAATTTGTTGGGTTCGAATTTGAAAGTCTCAAACATGAATAATTGTTCTGCTTTCGACAGCAACGAAATATTTGGCTCAAGAGGCGGATAATTCACACCAGACGGTGCCTTTTCAGGATTAAAATATCTCATATCGAGGACAATTTATCAACAAATATTTTATCCCTAAATTACTAAATTAGTATGGGAGTATCGAATAACGAAGTAGTGCTAGAAATGGCATTTCTTGCGTGTGCAGAGAATGCAATTTTTTTTGAACTACTAAATCTATTTTTCCGACAAAAATTTTTCATTCCAGCGCACTCTCTTCATGTTTGGCACAAAAAAATCCTTTTTTGATAATTTTCAAAAAAAAATTCGATTTTCTTGGCACAAGTAAAACTTGTTTGAGAACTTTGTCGTTTTTCTCTCAGTGCAGTGCTCACGTTTTTTTCTTTATTTCTGTCCTTTATGGCTTTCGTGAATTTCTGCTCGGATTTACTGATATTCCGGCATCCTGCTGGGCTTTTGAATATTATTGTTGTCGCGTTGTGCAGGCCATCCGAGCTTATCCATTGTCACTCGTCAAACTCTTTCATTCCGATTGAATTTCTCGAGCATTCCAGACTTGACGCACGGATGAATTCTATGTGAGCCTTTTATTCCGGCCGAATGTGATTGATTTCTCAGGCAGACAACGGTGAACAGGATGAATGGCAAAGGAGTTCTGTCGTAACCCCGGATACTTCGAAAGTTCGGCCCTGAGATTTTTCTCCCTCGGAGGAATTAAATTGAAAGCCCTCTGGCAAATTGCAACAGCGCGAGAGTATCAAGAGTCTCGAACGACTGAAAAAGAACATGCTTGGTTCAAAACACGTGCGTCGTTTGGACTCTCAGCTTGCGAGGGGTGAATTTCAATCCTGACGATTCGGTAATTCGAGCATTTGGCATGATTCACTTGCCCAGAACGCGTTTGAGGGTTTCTCGGACGAGTTTCATATTTCATTTCACGAATTATTTGGTGAATTTCAACAACTAGTTGGTGAATGCTAACAAGTAATCCTATTTACTAAAGATGAAAGAAACGAAATTTTGTATCGAAATATCTCGAAACTGCCTGACCGCTGATCCTCGATTCTGATTGGTCAGTGAGTCACGTGAAGTTGTCGCTGAAGAAAATCCCCGGTATTTTCAAATTATTCAAATGCCAAAAATTTTTTCTGCGTCATATTTATCATTTTTTCATGTGTGAAGTTTATCTTTATATCAAAACGTATCTAAATTGCCTAATTGTTGATCGTGAGAAGAAAAAACAGTATTTCTAAATTTTTTTTACTCACAAATTACTCTTCACTTCCCAAATTTTAATTTTTCCATATTTATCATACGCAAAAATGATCAGTTCTTGCTTCTCAGATTTTCATACATACATTCTAAACTCTAAAAAATTCATGAAAATTCGGTTTCCCAAATAATTCGAGAAAAATCTTTGAAGATCTACGATTATCTGGAAAATTGTGAAATTTTCCGAAGAATTCAAGAAATGTTTTTAGTTTTCTAGGAAATCAATTCATAACCCTCCCCTCATTTTTCAACAATTACAGATTTTAATCAGATTATTTTAAAAAATAAAAAAAAAAAAAGAATTAATCGAAGATTAAAAATTATTCATTAATGTTCCACTCTTCATTCTCTCAATTCTCTTCAAGTCATTATCAATATTTATAACACATCTATGAGTATATGAAGTTTAATAAATTCGACTTCTTCATTTTCACAACGAGTAGATAAGCGCGCGCACAGTTCTAGTCCATTAAAATTCAGAGAAGATTTTTCAATTTCATTCAATCAATTTTGTCTCCCCTGGAAGATATTTTTGTAATAATCGACAATTCCTTCAAATAAATCGACGAACATTTATTGAAAATTTAACAAACGGTTGTCGAATGAAATTTGAAATTTTTTTTCTGAATTTTAATTAAATTGTTAAATGTCACCAACTAGTTGGTGAAATTCACTGAATAATTTTTTCCGTGTTGTGATCAAATCGCGAGTTTGGGCTTTTACAGGGGTGCCTTGAAATTACAATAAAAGGGAGCCAACATTCGAGGAAATACTCTATTTAAGTGAATGAGAAAATGCGGCAAATGGAGAGGAAGATCAGATCAAGATAATCAGATTTATGTTCTTGAAAAGAGGTAGTGGAAAGGCGTGGTGGGACTCATTCGGCGATTGACGTCTGCGTTTTTTTTCCCACAGCGTGGGGTTTTAACACGTGAAAAAATAATTCCGTTGAGATAGCGCGGCGCGCGTTAACCCAGCAAATTTCGTAGGTTAATATACGGACAGCCAAGGTGTGGGTTACCGCAGCGGATGTCTTCCGCTCGGGTCTGATTTGTTAGAATAGCAGGAAGGTTATGCTAGGGCAACTATCTTGCCGATTTGCTACTTTAACAATTGATTTGCTCATTTAAGGAACATGTTTAGTTAGATTAACAAATTAATTGCCATGTTAATTATCAGTATAATCCGAAAAAAGTGATTGCTATTTTTTTTCTTCATTTTCATGGTCAATTATCCCTGTAGAAGCAACTCAGAATGCATTCATCACCGAAAAATCCAATTTCATTAACACAAATGATGTCCATTTGCCGAGACCGGGGATCGAACTCAGGACCTTACGATTACTAACCCTAACGCGTTAACCACTGGGCTATCGCGCAATACTTACTCGTCGTAAATATCATATCAAGGATGTTCTTCCATTTCGTGAAACAATTTTTTTCAGATTTAGAGAAAATTGTATTATTCCTTTACTTTTTTTTATGGAAGAACATATTTAATATAATTAGTATAATAATTCAATGGAAAAACATGACAGTTGTTTTGACAAAATGAAATGCCCAACTTTTATGAGTATCTCTTTACCGATTATTTGACTTGAAATTATTATTTCAAGTATATTTTAGGTCTTCCTTGAAATATTACAAGAGCGAAGCACAATTGTTAACGGAACACGGGATATAATAAGACCCTGTAAATGAAAATGAGATAGTTATTGAAGGGTCAATAATAGGGTTCAACAATAATTTGATAATAAACAAACTCATCTTCGAGAGGTCATGCGGCGAAATTTTCCGTTTCAACTTATTAGAAGATGGGACGCTTCATTCTTGAATTTATGAGTAAATGTTTAGATTCAAACACCAAATGTTTGGTTGTAACAGCAAATCAAAGATCAACCAATCCAGGAATATTGCACCAACGAAACGACTTTGGTGGTTTTAACGTAAGATTCACAGGGTTAGCAAATCAATTTCAACCTTTCAATGGGAGTTGGCCCGACAAATGGTCAGTGGCTCGCGTAGCGGAGGCTCAGGTACCAGTTACAAATTTTCAGTTACCTTAGCAAATCAGATTCCAGCAACGAGTATTTGCTAGGCCAACGAAATTATTTTTCCGCGTGCAAGAAACGACCCTGAAACGAATTTTACTCATGTCACAGTCTATTCGGGATGTATTAACCCAGAGCTTGCGTAGGCATAGCTTTTGATCTTATGCTTCGCAAGCTTCAAGAGCGAATTCGCTGACAGAGGAAGCCTATCCAAATAAACTAATCTCGGGATAATGTATAAGTTTCTGTACACGATACACAGGCTATTAGAAATGACCTGGTAGTTGAATTTGACGATAAGAAAGCGGGAAAGGAGAGCACATCTCAAAGGACAAGCCAACTTGGTGCTTTTCCGTATTCTGCATTTTTCATCCCGTTTGATACCTCACGAGGGTAAATAATCAAACTTGATATTACGTTTACACAGGGATATATTAGTAGAGCCACTGTCAGAGACAAAATCCCAGTAAAATGCACATTCCGAATGTCCCTGGAGATGACATACTGGTGCTATAGTTCTGAAATGCCCTGGCCTTTTGAATATTTTATCGCAATTTAGTGACTTTGTGTTACTTGGCTTTCGAAAAGGTCAGGAGCAATTCGCACGGTTAAATTGAACTGTCAATTAGCCTTTACCGGTTCGTGCATTATCACATTTGAATTTTTTAAGAGACGACAGACGGCAAATGATGAGTGCAGGGACAATGGTTTCAGTGATGTTTTACGAGGCTAATGGGATGTTCAATTTCAAGTTTGCGGAGGAACAATAGACTTTGGTGATGAGTGGATATGGGGTGGGTGTCACGGTTTGATTGATGGGATTAGTCGTCTGAAATTAGGGGATTAATTAGTGGATTAAGGAATCCAACAGCAGCGTGTTTTTTACGGAGGGCACTCGGGCTTCTCGTGTAGCAGAGAAATGTGACCTTAGAGTGTCCACCCACTGGAATATTGTGTCAACACTTTTGCAGGTGAAACACTCGTGCAAAGTATCCTAGCAACTTTATTCATTTTTCATGGCCCATCGTCCTCTCTTCCGGCGACTCCTGTCGTTTGGCTTTAGCTACGTAACACTTGTCTTCACCTTCAAGAATTCTCTCCCTCGAGTTACGGTTCACACTTGGTACGGATGATTCTGGTCTACAGGATGATATTCTCCCTCCTACCATTCATGCTCGAAGGACAATTTTCATTGTAAGACGTAATCTTTAAACTTTCCTCGGTCGTTATGGGGGGATTATCCACCTGGGATACGGGGGCGGATAGGGGGTTGAGATAGTCTTATTACGTGAAATATCGAGGAGGTCGGAATAATATGGCATCCAAATCCCGGGTGCGGTGATTCATTAGCGAAATTGCGCATTTTGTTATTGAAGATTTTTTCTCACTCGTGAAAATGGAGAAATCGAATTTATTGAACTTCATGTACTCATTGATGTTTTATAAATATTGATAGGAACTTGAGGAGAATTAAGAGAATGAAGAGTGAAATATCAATGAATAATTTATAATCTTCGATTAATTTTTTTTTTTTTGCTTTTTAAAATAATCTGATTAAAATCTGTAATTGTTGAAAAATGAGGGGAAGGTTGTGAATTGATTTGCTGGAATTCTTCGGACAATTTCAGTTTTCCAGATAACTGTAGATCTTCAAAGATTATTCTCGAATTATTTGGGAAACCGAAGAATTTTCATGAATTTTGGAGAGTTTAGAATTTATGTATGAAAATCTGAGAAGCAAAAATTGATCATTTTTGCGTATGATAAATATAAAAAAAATACAAATTTTGGAAGTGAAGAATAATTTGAGTTAAAAAAATTTAGAAATACTGTTTTTTTTCAAATGATCGACAATTAGGCAATTTAGATATATTTTGATCTAAAGATAAACTTCACACATGAAAAAATGATAAATATGGCGCAGAAAATTTTTTGGCATTTGAAGAATTTGAAAATACCGGGGATTTTTTTCAGCGACTACTTCACGTGACTCATTGACCAATCGGAATTGAGGATTAGCGGTCAGGCAGTTTCGAGATATTTCGATATAAAACAACTTCACGTTCCTTTCATCTTCAGTAAATAGAAAGAAATTAAACAATTAAAAAGCCATTTGAATTTGATATTTCCGTTTCACCACTCAACTATTAAATTACTATAAAACAAATACCATTCCACAAACTACATTATTACTTACTCCAACCCCACGATTTAGTTCCGGAATCGGTGGAATCAAATCAATTGAATAACACACGTGGAGTTCGATAAATTCTCCGCCGTCGGTTGTCCCGAAAACAAGAAAATGGAATCATAGTTTATGTTTGTTATTGGATCATTGTTTTTCCTTCGCTCGCCGAGATATATTTTCCAGGCACCAAACGCTCTACTCAGAGACGGAACGGCGAGGGAATTGGCGCGCTGGCATAACAAAAATAAACCCGCCGCCAGTTATTTGAACATTTCAGGAATTTATGGGCTGTTATGTAATGTCAACATTACACCGGGGAAATGTTGTTCTCTTGTCAATCAAATTGGACAATTCAATTTCCCCATTTTCTCTTCCTCGTCATTATTATTCGAATTATTCGTAGAATATTTTCGTTGGGCAGATGTCGGTGAGTAATCGATGTTGTCTGGCGAGGTTTATTTTCTCTTGCGGATATTTTATTCAACAATGTTTGTAACTTTATTTGCGACGGGCGCTGAGCGCCAAGGGAAACGGGTCAACGTGAGGCCAGGCCGATCCGATACTCGAGACGGTCTGCCGACTACTGGTGAGAGGAAAGCTCACGCAGGCGTTCGTACGTGTCTCGCGCGTGCCCACACTACGAACATGTCATATTTTCCCCGAATTTTTTTCCCCCTCTTGTTTTTGCCCGTAAACCTCTGGTTTATCTTATCCAGTTGATCAGGCTCCCCTTTATCTTTTCATTATGATCTTACCTATGGACAATGCAGAAGGAAATATAGGGGAGACCGCGGTAGCTAAGACAAAGAGGCGGGTGGCAGAGCTTCTATCATACTTATATTGCTCTTTACCAATCACTAGTCACATTCTAAAATTATCAGGTCGTGGCTCCAATGTATTACAGTTGGGGGCGCAGTGGGGTAGTGTCCAAAAACTTTAAAATAATTATAAATGTTGTTTTTTTGTTTTTCACCCTCGAATCTCCATAAAACGACAGAAAAACTCGGAAATCGGTGGGGAAGGTCCCGATGAATCGATTTTTTAATTTGGCGCACGATGGGGTACGCATAACAGAACTCAACTCTCGTCATTGGAAATGAAAGAAAAAGTTGGTTGACATAATGTCGATGGTGTTTCTGTCACTGGCCGGGGCTGCGAGAGGTTTAAACAAATACCCCTGCACTCTGTGTGAGTCAGGGAGAGTGCAGGATAAACAGCAAAATGAGGGGCGATAGAGAGGGTGCGAAGAGACAGTTAATATCTCCATATATTTTTCTTCTAAAATTGGAGTGACACGATACGGTTGGAGTTCGAGGCCACTGCGAGGGTCACATTTATATTGAAAGTGGCTCGATAATCAATCACACTGGAATTTTTATTCTCCCGCGTTCGTACAACTGTTATAGAGATGAGAAAATACGCATTTACATTTTGCGCTGAGAACCAAGAACTTTCATTGGGGGTAATAATGATCGAATGTGATAGTAAAATATGACTGGAATTTTTTATCCAGCGGATATTCCCTCATGTATTTGGGGGGTGGGGGGCTCCTTACTTTTGGTCGTAATTTGATATGAGAAAGTTTTACTCCTCCGACGGGGTCGAAACGTCAACTTTACGAAAGCCGATGAATCATCAGATGAAAGTTTCTATGAAAAATCAATTTCGTTTTTGTAGTGGCTTACTTATCTCATCGAGGATCAATCGTTCGTGGAGTATGAATCGACGGTGGATTATCGCGAGAATTTATTTTGAAAATATTCGGAGTATACTCACCTACGTATTATTTCTTTTCAACTAGAAATAACTCATAACGGTTCAGTGCATCGCGTCCCTGGTAAATATTTACGTTCCAAAAATTCCACTTTTCCCCACGACTTCATATCCCGATCCGATGCAAGCCGATTATAAGAGCATAAACAATTGGAAATACCCGACATTCGCGTTGGATTATTTTGGGAGGATAATAAAACTATAGAGAGGGAATGAAAACACATGGGAAAACATTGGGGTTGGGATTGCAGAGATGGGTTGTTTCATTATTATTAATATATCGATTGATCTCATTTTTCCATCGAAATCAATCAACTATCCACGCGAAATGGTTACGTGCACATGAGAAGTTAAACGCTCCAGATTGACGAAGGGAACAATACCGGAAGTTTCGGTTATACTATTCCAATTAGTCAATTAGCCCAGGAGCCGTTAGTAATGAGTTCAGAGAGTTACTGTCGCAGTTAGCGAGGAGAGGTTGGACGTCTCAGCACCATCTCCCGCTTATATACTTTCTTTCTCTGTCGTATCCAGAATTTAATGAGAAAAAAAATCAATCAGGAGGGATTTACTTGGTTGAGCTCTCGGCTTTCAGCATCTACAGGTTCCCTCCAACTCATAATAGTTGAGAAGAGAATGAATACTGTGATAGGAGTTGATGTATCATTTTACGGGCAAATCCACCCGTCAATTCATCTTTCATTTGTCCTCCATTCATCATCAACAGATCAAGGTTAAAAATATACTAATTAAAATAGCTATCTGGTCTGTCTCATCACAAACTAGAGAAACATCTCTCTTCATTCAGATTACGCTGATCCTCTGAATCCATTTTCAAAAAAAAATTTCATTTTTCCCGATTTTTTTTCTCAATTAAAAGAATATTTTTCACCAGGACACTGGGATTATATTGTATCTCAACATTGAGTAAGCACCGCCCCCTTGTTATTATCATTTTCTGCTACCCGAGTACAGAGTAGAGTTAATCGTAAGAAGATTGGACAGGATTTTCCATTTACCCTCATGCGCCATTAATTTTTTGCTCCCTTCTTGTTAGAGATGCGAGCAAATTTTATGACAGATGACGGTCATGATGACGTCAGATGACGGCCACATGACGTCGGATGACGGCCACATGACGTCAGATGACGGTCACATGATGTCGGATGACGGCCACATGCCGTCAGATGACGGCCACATGACGTCAGATGACGGCCACATGACGTCAGATGACGGCCACATGATGTCGGATGACGGCCACATGACGTCAGATGACGGCCACATGATGTCGGATGACGGCTACATGCCGTCAGATGACGGCCACATGACGTCAGATGATGGTCATGATGACGTCAGATGACGGCCACATGACGTCAGATGACAGCCACATGATGTCGGATGATGGCCACATGACGTCAGATGACGGTGATGACGTCAGAGGATGGCCACATGACGTCAGATGACGGGCACATGACGTCAGATGACGGTCCTCTATGGCCGTCAATGACAAAATTTTATTTGGCCGTTTTATTGACAAGAGAAGACATGACTGTCAATGACAGTCACATGACGGTAATATTTTCGTGACCTGACGGTATTTCATTCGTGACGTCACCTTGCGTCTCCACTTCCTGTTAATTTTTTTCTGCATCCTCCTACCTTCCGTATTTTGAGAAAATTTTTCCAATAAATTCATAACGTCAGTAACAGAATTTTCGCCCATAATGTACGCGCGGATTTAACGGGAGAGAATGGGGTGGGTGAAGATTGTCTGGACGAGGGCAGTAATTTCCCATCGTAGGGTATATCCCTCGAGTCAGCTCGAGTCCATGGCCTTTATGCTCACCTCGTTACCAACTAAAAGGGACCTGCTATCCTCCAGCGGTGGGAGCGGCTCCACCATGAAAATTATTCGCGTTGATTCAGGTTACGCGTTTACTATGTACAACATTTCCTCATTTTCCCACGGTTTAAAATTATGCCCAGTGGAGTCTGAATGGCATATGAGCGTGGAGGTTTAATTTTTTTTAACCAGATATGGAGTCAATTGAAGCCAGTGATGCCATGAGACGAGATGAGACAAGAAACCGCATCGTCTCGTCTCGTTTGTCTCGTCTTGTCTCGTTTCTGTCATTGTCTCGAATGACTCTTCTCGTCGAGAAGATGCAGTTTCTCGTCTCGTATCAAAATACGAGAGCAATTTCTTCTCTCGTCTCGTCGAGAATTGAGAGATTCTCTCGTCTTGTCTCGTCTTGTCTTGTTTTATCTCTTCTCTATAATCCAATTTGCACGGAAAAAAATACACAGAGGGACAGAGAGAGGGAGGCTCTCTCGACTCTCGTCTCGCCTCGTTTCTGTCATTGTCTCGAATGACTCTTCTCGTCTCGTTTCGTCATGTCTCCTGTCTCGTTTGTCTCGCCTCGTCTCGTTTCTGCCATTGTCTCGAATGACTCTTCTCGTCTCGTCTCTTTCTGTCATTGTCTCGAATGAATCGTCTCGTCTCGTCATGTCTACCGTCTCGTTTGTCTCGCCTCGTCTCATTTCTGTCATTGTCTCGAATGACTCTTCTCGTCTAGTCATATCTCTCGTCTCGTTTGTCTCGCCTCGTCTCATTTCTGTCATTGTCTCGAATGACTCTTCTCGTCTAGTCATGTCTCTCGTCTCGTTTGTCTCGTCTCGTTTCTCTCGCATCTCCCGGCATCACTACTTGAAGCTGATAAAAATTTTTCGAATCAAGGAAATTATTGATCTGATCTGAATAAACTGTTTCCTGCGCTGTGATGAGAGAAAAACATTAAAGGGGGCAATGTTTAGCACTTACCTTACTTGCTAGTGCTTTTACTACCCACTGTGTACAGTTCAATCGATTTCTGGTAATTTCTGATGGTCTTTGCTTCCGGCTATTTACTCCGTCTCTTCCATTTTCATCAAGGCGATGAAAGCGTCTTTCATCGAACAAAAACCACGACAATGTTGATACAATGGTAAATAGTGTGTATAATGCAGTTGATGGGGCCACATTGAGTCATCTGATTAATATTAATGAAGGTATTCGAGGAATTTATGTTTACAAACCAATGAATTTGGTAATTAAATTCTAATCAATAACAAGTGACTCGGTTCTCCCGCTGGAGTTCACGCTAACATTGACCGAATGGAAATTACTGTGGAAAATTGAATAGAGCTCCCAGTCAAATCCACCGATGTGCACCTGGAATTTTCAGAGTATAAATTGAGAGATAATGGAAAATGTTTGAGGATTCCGGGAAAAATGATTATTCACGTATTGAACCAAAGTTCATAATCAGATTGTCTGTAAGCCGATTCAAATTGTATTTCTCCTCTCTGATGGCTGTTATATCACAGACCCATGCACAATCATTAGTAAAATTTAATTTTCATTTTCTTCTCCCGGTAAATGGAGTTGTTGCGGTTAAACTCGTAAATATCTGAACAGGGGAAAATACTAATTATCCACTTAGTTCTCTAATTAAACTATTTTGAACAGTGTGCACCAGGAGGAACGTTACTTCTCATTCTCCAGGATAACTTGATTCCACTTTGTGAAATAATACAACTGGGTGAACTCGGCTTGTTTACTAACTGCGCGCTATCCCTCCGTTATAATTTTCGCACTGATGAATTTGGAATTAATAGTTGGTAGGTATTTTCCACTGTTTCAGCTGACATTTACGATGAAATTGGAAATGAATTGAAGAAGTACGGCGCCGGATTAGATACCGAGTGTGTCGGCGGTGGGAGAATAGATCACAGCGCAGAAGGAAAAACTATTAAAGTTTATGGGTACTCGCAGGTAGTGAAAAATCATGAGAATATTCGCTCTCTGCCGTTGAAAATTAACTCCTCATGGGTTTCAATTTAATCATTGGGTATTGGATGTTGCAGGGATTTGGGAAGGCCGATCATGAAGTTTCTGTGGGATTACTGAAGAAGAAGTACCCTGATTATGGAATTACATGCTCCGACGAAGGATATTAGAATCAATATCGTAAAATGGGAAACTGTAATTACTGTGATTGTCTCTTTATCGTGAATTCATAATAAAACCGGATAATTTTTACAATCGGTAGATATGAAATCTGCTCTACAGACAGGAGGTAAGAGGGAAATCCCTCAGTTTACCGACGAATTTGCGAAGGGTCACTTGGCAGTCAAATAATTCAGTGAGACCTTTGAGACTTTGTACATTTGACATGGGGGGGGGGGGCGTTCGTACTTCCACAACTGTACGCATCCACAGCTGTCCACAGATTTGTGGAAAATGTGAGGAAACAACTACACAACCACGTGCATGGTCCTTGCAGTCGGTCAAACAGTGTCGTTAGAGTAGAAATTGCATTCGTTTTATTTGCAGTCGATATTAATTATGGATGGCGCCATGTGTCCCACTATACCACAAACGATAGTCTGATCAAGCGATCCGAACAATTAGCTCTTCATGTATAGATATTCCAAATTTTTATTTTTTTCCTCATTGAAGTAGTTTTGAAGAAAATTGCGAGCTAATAAAAAACATTTGCTAGTTGGTACTTTTTTTAAAATAAATTTTTGAAAAATCACCTCTGTAAAAAAAGGCGTTATCCCCCCTATTTCATTATTTCCAACAAATTTTATCACCAATCGGTAGCAAATTGTTTGAAGATTTTTGCGAGTTAAGAAAAAATCGTCAATGCACTCCTATTATTGTGTAAATTAACAATTCCCATTTCAACTGAAAACCAGAGTTGATGACCAGAATGAAATTTCTACTCCGACGGTAAGTTCCATTGCCTCTCAAATAACCCTCAGTAGCGAACGTCTCGGCTGTTGGTTCGAAATCACTCGACAGCTGCCTGAAATCCTCGACAGATGGCGGCTGAGGGTTCTCATCCGTCTCATAAATTCAAAAACATTGTCACGACGTTGCTAAGTAACTGATTGATCAATCATCATTTGAAAAAAATCTGGCGATCAGTCCAGTCTAAATTCGCAGTATTTAACACCAATAAGGAAAATTAAAATATTTAAAATGCTTCAACGCACCGGAAATTTGGTTCTCGTCACATTCGGCAGGCGCAATTGTTACTCGAAGATGAAAGCGATAAATCCAAGTAAATTAATGAAAAAACCCATCATCTCGACGATTGCGAAAAAGGGACAGAAGTCTCAGTCAACCAAGATTGCTGTGCCATACTCCGCGAATCGTGAATTAAACTTGGATCTAGTACGTTGAGAATTCTCTAATCGAGAATCTATAAACTTCATGATTGACCCTCTCCAATTTTATCGAATTGATTTCAGTTGAAGCCAGAGACTGTGGACGTCAATAACAATGGGTTCCCCTCAATTTTGGACAGAGTAAGTATTATAAAAATTCCACAACGTAATCGAGTTTCTAGGGTTTTAGATCTCAACAAAAGCAATTGAATCCTTGAAAAAATGCATCGAAATATTCTCTCATTCCTCCCGGGGAAGTCCTCGCGAAACTCGATTAAAATGATTGAGAAATCACTGAGACTGAGAGAAAAATTAAAAACTCGTGTTCGTGGCTCCACCTCCCCTATCACTTTATTCCTCGCGAAGAGAACGTACGCGAGACGCAAAACCCCAAGTATCCTAGAACCGATAGCGTCCCATCAGCGCGTGCTGTCGCCAGTTGGGCCCCAGCTGGGCCTCCTCATGACGCCCATCGACAGGACATGGAACGACGATTATTTCCCTCAAGGTGATGCCTACGAGGAGTCACCGGAGCTGGACGACACCGACAGCAAATTCAAGTCCGAGTCGAAAGGATCCGAGGAATTGGATGATGATTGATATGACAAGTTAGTACCCAAATGTAAGGGAGGTGGATCCAAAAATCACTCGCAACGCCAGTCCATCCAAATCTAGTGATGCCACGAGACACTTTACGAGACAAAACTTCGAGAGATGATTTCGGTCTCAATGAACATGAAAATCGCGCGTCTCAGTCTCGAAAAACGCAGTATCGCCTCCTCTGGTGATGACTCCGAGTCAATTTATCTCATCTCGGTCTCAAGTTTTTCGTCTTTTTCAATGTAAAATCTGGGTTTTTGTCTCGACTTGTCTCGTCTCGGTTTTCTACATATAAAAAACGCGAAAAACTAGATGAGATAAATTGACTCTGAGTCATCATGAGACGAGTTGATACTGCGCGTTTCAAGACTGAGGCGAGACCAAAATTTTTCGTGTTCATGGAGGCCGAGACAATCTCTCCAAAGTATAGTCTCGTGATGTCTCGTGAAATGTCTCGCGGCATCACTATCCAAATCCACCGATTGTTGGATTAAATATCTGTTCCCATTGCAGAGGATCACTCAGATTGAATTACACCTGGGTGATCCGGATTGCGGTGAGGGTGGGCCCAACAGGCCCACGAGAGGTCCCTGCGATCCCCCCGAGGGCCCATGCAAACCCATGAGGAAACCCGGCTATCCACCCAAGCCGCGAGCCAGTAGGGAGCCATTCTGCGTCAAGTGCCCACCAAAGAGACCGTGCAATTTGAACAAATGCCCGACCGAGACTGAGGGTACGTGCTGGAGATCGGCTTGTCAGGAAATTGCTTTTATACTTTGTTCTCAATCACAGAGGAGCTGTAGACTCGGAGGCATTCATCCTAGAAATTATGGTACACTCAAAAGACCGAGGATCATTGGGGATTTAAGGAGGCCATCTGAGGCGCCAGTGCGATATCAATCGGCAAAAGGATGCAATTCACCACCGGAACCGCCAAAATGTACCGAGAATAAACCGAAACCTGTGGAGACCTGTCAAAACAAGGAGACAAAGCCCCCTTCGTCGTGCAAGCCACCGGATCCACCGGTCAAGGTTGTTTACCAAAAATGTCCGCCATGCCCGAAGCTACCGAAAATGCCAGAGTGCGTTCCGCCGACTCCCACGTGCGAGATCAAATGTCCGCCACTGCCGCAATGCCCGAAATGCCCGCCATGTCCGTCCGCCAAAGATCCACCGTGTTCGTCCGCCAAAGATCCGCCGTGTTCGTCCGCCAAAAATCCGCCGTGTTCGTCCGCCAAAGATCCGCCGAGCAAAGGATCATCCTGCGGATCGAAAGGAAAATCTGCAAAGGGCCTCTGGAATAAATTGACGGGGTTCATGAAAAAACGGAAAATGTCGACTGCCAGCGGCTCCGACGACTGGCGGGCGCGGAAATGTCAAACAGTAACCGATATCTGCGCTGACAGATCGAATGAGAAAAAGTCAGCTCCGCCATGCCCCAAAAACAGAAGAACCACTTGTTACCCCGAAGTAGTCAAGTGTCCGGAGCTGGAGAAGGCCCCGGTGAAGAAGCCAGAGCCATCAATTGACGAAAAAATCGATTACTCAAAGATCACCTGCCCCCCGCCCAAGTTCGAAAAGCCGGAGGCCTGTCCGTCTCCGAGAATTAATTCAGAAGTAAAGTCTACGGCTGAGGAGGATAATTCTTTATTAATGGGACTTCCGGGACCTCCTTCAGAACCTGTTACCCTCTGTCCCTGCCCTCCACCTGCTAAACTCCATCCAGGTGCTTGTCCCTGTGCTCCAGAAGTGAATGATAATCTCAAGAAAACAACACCCACTGAACCCTGCCCCCTGAAACCCCTCTATCCGTGCCCGGAAAAACGAGTGTTTCACTGTCCAATACAGCCATCTGCATCTTCGCAACGGAAAAATTTGCAGAAATGAATACAAAATTATTGAGATGAAATTTTACGATTGTCTTGTTGATTCTCTCATCCTCTTTTCATTTTTATTACTCACTTTGCCCTCGACATTTCCCTCCACTTGCGCATTGTCCAGCAGCTGAAGCCCACCATCAATAAATAACCCGATTATCCTCGACCGTTGACGTGGACGAGGTGCCACTGTGGCTTTCCCATATCTTTCCCTCATCGTATAAAAAATATCCACGAGCCTCACCACGATAGATCGATTCTTTTAGGGATTTTACGGTGAAACATAAAATTTTTATATCTCATTTTTTTTTTTTTCGTTACAACAGTCCCCTATACTTCCACCTTGTTTTTTCATCCATCGAGATTTGCGGAACAACCCGATTGAATAAAGAGACTCTATTGCTCGACTGTCTATTCGATTATACGCGTTGAGTTGCGGGCAACGCGGATTGGCTCAATGATTCCTGCCCCTCCCACATATACCTACCTAGTGATCGTTCGCGAAACGTAAGTGACGTTTCCATCCGCGTTGCCGAGGAATAATCTAGAGGAA